TAAGGGAGACGCCGAGAAATCAGACCATCTGAGGTCGGCAATGAAGGAGTCGCTCGTCACAAGCGCATTGAGAAAGAATCCGGAAGTGAGAGCAGCGGTGCAGAGGGCTCTTGACAGGAGAAGACGAGGGCCGATCATGCAGGAACCAGACTGAGAGTCGCCCTTGCATTTGGCATAGAAGATAGAAGACTAGGGAAAAAGCATCTTTGAACCGGGATATCATGTTTATCCCCAATCATTGATATTCTTAGTCCTGTACTCAGTCCGTGTGTACTCAGTAGGTATGGGTTGTGCCTGTCTTGAGGTGCCGCACTACCTATTCAGGCCTCGTTTCACAGTCCTTGGGTTGTTTATCATACTGGTACGCGGTTCTCGGTACTGTTTGATGGACCACCATCACTTATGACGATGATAGGGTGTCGGCGACTGGCTTGGAGGCCATTGGGCTGCGATTTGGAGACGAGGCTGGACCAATCGTCCCCGATCTCAGTGCCGAGTGTCCACTTCCACCTAGCAATCACCTTCTCCACCATCCCAACCTGCCCAACGCGACTCGGTGCCAGGAACCCGGTTATCGTCGCCCGCAACTCGACAACCTCAACTTGACTCAACTCACCGCTGTCCTGCTTCTCAATCGTGCGGCTCTCTCCAGTATCTTGCACAATGCGGCCTGCACTATGTCGTCGCCCTTCAATTCCACCTCGCTCCGCTTCAGATCCTTCTGCGACACAAACGACCTCCTCCCCCGACCGAGCATGGACACGCGCTCAGACCGCATTCCGGACGACGTCAACACCACAGTTATGACCCCGACCAATAACTCCCGCCCCCCGAGTAGCGATGGGAAATTGCTGTGTTGCTGTGGGAGGCCAGAATGTGCCTATCTTGAGAACAACAACACTATCCTGGGCGGCATAGAGAGGGACCTCGAGACCGCCGCAAGATTGGGACAGGTACGTGCACCACTACATGCCGGAACACCGGAAGATGCTCTATTTGCACACACACGTCGTTGGTTGCGCTTGGATGTGTCACGTTTGGTCATGTGGACAGTGATTTTGAGGAAGGCGCTACACAAGAGTGACAACGTCCAGTCTTCCACTTCTACCTTGCTTGGTCATGCCCTATTCTTCCCTGATCAGCGCACCCCAAGCGCTGCCCAATGAAATGGATATACTATTTCCCTCAGCAGCTGGTTGCAAAGCCGCAGTCGAGAAGATGCAGACGAGCAGCGGGCTAACATTCGCTCTTCAGGCCCTTCTCAACCGTCACGAATCCTACGTTTTCGAGTCGCAACAAGAGCACCAGCGCCTAACAGCCTACATCAACGAACTGGAGAACGAAAGGGCGGCTTTGCAGACCACGAACGACAAGATTGTGGAGGAAAATCGACAGCTCTTGACACAACTCGAATCAGCCAACACATCCCTCAAGGAGAGTGATAGCCATGTCAAGAGCCTGGAGGCGCTGCTTCGTGACTGCGAAGTCGAAGTGCGACGATTGAACGGTCTCAGCCGGCGGACCGAGGAATTGGAGCTCAAAATACTTGAGATGGAGAAGGAACGAATGGCAATAACCCAACAGGCAGATGATGCAAGAGGAGAAATCCGAAGCACCATCAAGCGGTGGAAAGAGAGTGAGATCAAAGTCCGTCAGCTTGAGCGCGAAGTTCAAAGGATTGAATGGGACGCGAAGGAGGACAGGGAACGGTTCGAAGAGATCATTGCGAGGCTGGAACGTGAACGTGCTCTGGAGAGAGAACTGGGTGGTGCTGAAGGTCGATTGAAATCTGCTGCTGCTTTTCGAGGCCTGGACGCAAAGGAGAAGAGCACCAATGTTGTCGGCCACTTCGTCCGGGACATTCTTCAGGATAATGCAAATCTACAAGCCGGGATCGTCGAACTGAAGGAACTGCTTCAAGCGTCAAACGAAGAGGTACAGAACCTGAGAGAGCAGATCCTTGAGCATCAGCCTGTAGACGACAGCGGTTCCGGCGCCATGTCGGGGTCGGTCCCTTTGAGCGATCAACTTGGCTGGTCACAACCTGCTCCAAATGTGCAACAATCAGTTCACGTCCACCACCATTATCACGCCAAACTTGCGAAGCGGGATCGGACTCCAACGGTCCGAAGATCGTCTCGCAAGAGGATGGTATTGGGCCTGGGGATGCTTCCGTCAACCCCAGAGTCATCTGCTCCTGCTACGCCGGTTGCCGGTCCTCATCGGCTTTTTTCCAGTCCGGTGTTGCCTATCACTCTCCATCAACCACAGGCAACCAGGAAACGTTGGTCTATGCAATCAGCGGCAACAAGCTCGTCTATGATGTCTAGTTTCCCAAGCTCTCCACGGTCGTATTTGGAGCAATCCAGCTCCATCTTCGATCGGCTCGAAGCTGGTGAAGAATCATCTAGACCCACGAGTCCCGAGTCTACTGGCGGCTTTGCATCTCCACCGTTGAAATTCAATCCTGGGTATGAATATGACGAGAGAACAAGGCCCCCGGTGGAAGAGGAGGAACGCGAAGTTGGCGGCGCCGAAGCGTTTCCAAAAGATGAACACCTGGACTTGAGCGACGAAGCAGACCCTCAGCATGGAGAAGAGGCCAAAGGACCAGGGTCTCATGACTTGACTCCCAAGCCTTCGCAAATGCCTGTTGGTGGTGGGCGGATGAGTGACACAATCCAGCCTGACCCACCAGTACCAAACATAACGGATTTGTCGCATGAAGCCTTCAAAACAGAGCCACCCAATATCATTATTGAAGGGGAGCCCGTACTGATTATGCCGGAATCAGCAGAAGATGTTCAGGAAGACAGGATGTCTCCATCGACCACTCCGTATGATCTAGATGACGCCTCCGACATTGCCAACCGATCCAAGCTTCGACGAACGTCCTCCCATGACTCCCTAGTGTCAATCTCCGGCATGGACATACACATCGCCAAGCGACCGACTTCCTCGTCATCTCAGTCGTCGAGCGTGTTAAGAGGCAACAAGGCATATTTTGCTCTTGGGCCATCGGCAGCTCGAAGGATCGCTTCTGCACAGCCATTGGCGACGGTGACGGAGTACACAGCATTGAGCTCGATGACATCGTTGGGCTCGGACCCATCCAACCCTCTGTCAATTGGACATCAACTGCCGCAACGCAGTGTAAGTTCGAGCTTCGCAGCGTTGAGCGGTCTGGCGGATCTTGCACCCTCCCACCCTGAAGACCAGCAACCTCCGCCTTCGGGATTTGGGCGTCTTCTTGGTGGGTGGGTAAGAGGCAAATGGGGCATTGCACCGATGAAGTCAAGCGGCGGCTTGACGTCTTCAGCCGCTTCAATCGCGACGTCATCGTCCAGCGAAACTCAGCTCCATGGCGTCTCCCCTTTCCCATTCATGGGTGGAAGACTTCCGGGTATTAACCAGAAAGGACCTATACCGGGATTCAAGCCGGCGCCGAAAATCACTGGTGTACAAGTGACCATGGTGGATGAAGAGGGACTGAAGCAGACTTTGGCGGAGGGATGATCGGCTTGGAATAGGCTCGACCGTGGGAGACGATGATAATGCTATGGAGACGGCATTGGGTGTAAATATTGAGTTGGATCACTGAGCATTTCCGCAAGCATTGTCTGGATGGCACGATGATACCCGTGAATTGCTACCCTGGCGGGTTCGTACAGAGTGAGTTGGATTAGACGGATAGTGAATGAAGCTACATTGCGATATACTTATACCGCTGCGCAGGGATCCAGCGTTGGTATCTCACCAACAGTTCATCCGTCCTGCATTGCAATTTTCGGGCATGAGAGCCATCGTCGTCGAGCGCCATGTACGTAATGGATTCAATGCTCGTGCTTTTTCCAGCTTGGGTAAAATACTCGGTACGCAGGCAACAATGACGAGAACAAACCACCCCCAGGACCAGGACTAGGAGTCTGTCCTCTTCGCGTGCTGCTGATAATATTTGTACGGCGGAGATATCGGGAATCCTTACCTACCGTAGATGGCTGATGGCTGATGGTCGAGATCTTCTGCGTCGCGGCGCCGGTCGCGAAGTACTATGTACAGGGTACTTGGTATATAAAGTTGATAGACATTCCTTTCCGTCCATCCATACTCCGCATAAATTGGAAGGGTCTTTGGGTGAAGGGGCAGGGGGTGGGAGAGGGGGAGCGACCAAGGAGCAAGGAGGAAGGACTCGTATACACTAAAATTGCAGGCTCGAAACGCTAGCAGCAGGTGATAATATCCCTGTCCATCCCAGCGCGCCGAAGGGTCAGATACACTAAAAATACAGTGCAGGCAGGATAATTTCCACGATGCTTGATTGGGAGCTTGTTGGTCCGCGGCTCGGCGGTGAATTGGCCTTCCTCCTCTCCTGCCTCTCATGTACACTAAAAATGCAGTGCGACTCTCAGGCTGCCACTGAGGGTGTCGGGATTGTCTTGTGCATTTGTATTCGTTCTTTCTTCCTCGTCGTCCTTTGCTCTCACATCCACTAAAAATGCAGTGTAGGGACGAGGCCAGAGGGAACAGCATTTTGTAGTTTCCCTTTTCTTCCTATTCCTTGAAGGTGCCAATACACTAAAACTGCAGTGCCATTACGAATTCGCCCATCCCTTTCCTCCTCATCTCCCTCCCGTACACACTAAAAGTGCAGTGCAAAAGACGGAAAACCTATCGTTTCGCAAAGGTAGTTTCTCGCATATTTAGCCTATAGTTCAACGCAGAATGCAGGGAAACTTCCTCTTAAGTCGGACGACTAGAAAGAAGGACAAAGCATTTGAGATGCTCTCACGGCAATTCGTCACGTTTTGAGACTCTCTCCTCCCCATTCCTGGAATACTTTCTCTCTCTTCCATTTTAAGGCTGTCGTGGCCTGTCCAGTATTCTTAGTGGGGCCTGTGCGGTTCTGAAGTGAAGAGAGTTGATCAGGTCGACTTCCGAATGAATCTAAAAGTAAGGGTCCTCGAAATGGATCGGCACGAGAGGGACCGTTAGCCAGTGGCCTATAATGGGTAGGCCACGCCCAACTGCTTGAAGCCGAGCCCAGTGCGGTCGGGAAGAAGCGAGCCAATCTCATTGAGATTCTGACGTTCTCGATCCAGAGGAGCACAAAGACGGACAAGGGGCAGACTGCTCTTGACCAGCTGCCCACTGATACGGAACGGACCCACCTCTTCGGGAAATGTGAGTGATTCACTGATCGCAAGCTGGCTGATGGCTGGGATCAAGATATGTACAATCGACTCCGGACCAAGGCAAGGTCGTCCATGTTCCACGATGTAGGCCACGAGTGTCTCTGGGTCGTGCTGATAGCCCAGGACATGATTCAGGAACTTGCCTCCACGAGAGTTCTCTCGAGTACACGTTGTCTGCCATCTGATCCAGGCTATTGCGCATCCTCCCGGCCTGATCTTCCAGCTTCTTGATATACTCCACAGCAGCACCGCTGGTGATCAAAGAGCCGACTTTCATGATCTGACCGAATAAGTTCAGCTTGGCGAAAGTCTTCATATCTGGAGCGATTGACTGCATTGTTTCATGGAGGATTCCCATCTCCATCGAGACGCTGGCCAATCCCCCGTTTTTGCTGCTGCCTGGGTCATTGTAGCTCTTCCCCATAGGAACGTTGCCTCGGTTTGAATTCTTGCATGAGTAGAAAGTGTGTCTCGTATGCTGGAAAGCTCTTAACCGCCCTATCTGGTACGACTCGATCGTAAAAGGCTCAAGGCAGGATTGAGCATGGTATTGACGGTATTGATAGATCTATCCACCCCCACCGGCGTCAAGTTGTTGCTCTATTGCAAGTCTTTCACCAGACCTACAATTAGCAACTCATTGATGAATTGAGATAGAAAGGCAAACAGAAGACGGTCTTAGCCAAGTCCAATGGTAATCCTTGTAAGTAATCCAATGGCTGAGACGATGCACAAAACTCCAGGAGCTGATGATTACCGAATTGATCGCCCCCCAATACCCAAGATCAACAAACGCATAATTTGGCAAAAATATAAGCGCAAATCGTATTTGAAAAGGCTGCAGGGACTCTGAGGATGCAGCAATCCAGTTTCTTTTTCTTCGAAAGAGACGAAAACCAGTCATTGTTGAGAGGCTGGCTGTTTGGTTTGCCAGCGTAGAACCATTCAGCAGAATTTGAACATCATGCTTACGACGCCAATAACTAGCCATGTCGGTACAGGAACAATTCGGCTGTGACGATAGCGAAAGACATATGCTGAGCCACGCTTCGTCTTGCTGGGTGGTCTTGACAGCCAGCCATGTGGTTTATTCACAGTTATTGTGGAGGTCTGTAACGTTTTTCTTAGATCACGACGCTTTCCTCATTTGAGAGCTTGATGAGTTTTCTTCCTAAATTTCGTTTCTTGCTCGTCTATCAGCTCCTCATTATCTCGGTAAAAGAGAGTATTGCTTCCCTCCATCTAGTCTAAACGCCGAGAGCGGACTCATGCGCTGTGATAGTTGCCTGTGACAGTTACCTGTGTTGGCGGTGCTTGTTTTTCGGGCATCTTTGATCCCTGAGTAATTCCTTCCAGGAGATTAGGAGCTAAGCTACGTGTCTTTTTGTTGAATGCCTGCACAAATGAACCGAGCATGATGAACACAGATAACGGGACTGTAATGTGACTCGGATAATTGGCTCTTGTTTGCGTGAAGGACGGGGGAGTGGACTTGGCATACAAATATATGCAAGCACAACTCCAAGACTTAGATCTCCTTGGATGAGCTCCCGAGCATTGATCCCAAAAATGGCGGCCAGGTTTGAGAGTGGGAGCTATTGATTTATGTCAGCACCCGGATGTATCGAAGCCCTCAAAGACTAAAAGTCACAATGTGACAGAATTGTGCCTTCTAACGTACAAAGATAATGGTGACCACAGTGAACTGGTCCTTCTTGCCAGTGATAATCATCAACAGGTCAAGCTAAAACCTACCACCATAATAGTCTCTCTTGAGTCGGCTGCGGCATTCTGCATGTCTTCAATTGCTTTCGTTGAGGCTGTAGATTGTACTGCCATTTTTGTGGACTCTCTTCCCATTTTTCAGTTGCTCTCGTTGATTCTGTGGATTTTGTGGGCATTTTCCTCCTCAATGCCGCTTCGAAAACGCTTGCCTACTTCTGTGCGAGATTCAATAGTTGTAGAATGGGCTTGTAAATAGCCTCGGCATGTTCGAATAGATTGCGAATTTTCTTCTCCATTTTAGCCAGGCTTTCCTTGAGAAAATGCTTCTTGTGTTTTTTTTTGGATCGGAATCCCTGCTCTTGTTTGTGTTCTGCGAAAGCTTCCTCAGGACAATTCTTTGTTCCATGCTGATTACTAACATCATTCGTAGCTCATCTACGATGTCTTTCTTTTCGTTCAGGAGCTCAAATATGGCACGGACTTGAAGGGGGTTGGTTTCATTATCTAGTCCCGATTTATTGGCCTAGTGAGCCCTTGTAGTTTCCTTGAAGCACGTATCTTGGTTGTCCACTGAAAGAGACGTCGGGTCAAATATTGACTTCGCCTATTAGCCTAGCTTACCGGATTGGCGATGGATCAACATTTCGAGGAAGTTATAACTCAGGTCTGGCGTGTGATCCGAATGGAAGATATTGGAGGCGCAACGGTCAGTAATGCAATATCCAAGCCACTCCGCGTTCTTAATTAACTCGCGGTTCTCATCGTTCTCCAGGTGTCTCCTAGTGGCCGTGAAGACGCCAATTCTGTCCTCCTCTCTAGCTTCGTCGTCTTCTCTACGGAACCAAGCCTTGGGAAGCAAGTGGCGACCGTATCTGCAGATATGTAGGTTAGAAGACGTATCCGGTATCAGAGTCGTCAGTGTGTACCATCACACAGGATCCAGAGCCACAGCTGATCAACCATGAGAACGCGAGGTTCTGAGAATAATTAGTTATCTTGCTTCCTCATATATCGCTCCGTAACCTGGTCTGATTCTCTTTCCGTGGTTTAATTGTGGAAAAATACCACTGGTCCAATGTGCGTCTCATATGAAGCCACGAATTCCCAGGAATATAGAGCCGAAGCAGCCTCTTCTGCTGCACGTTTGAGTTGTGAAATCTCATTCGCACGCGGAGGTGGGTAGTTGTTTCGTAGAACCTCGTTGTTGATCCTTTGTGTTTAACGAAGGTTGAGTTGTGGACCTGTCTGGTTGATTGTGTCCTGTCCCCCTGGCTATTCAGAGAGACTCTGTCTGTTTGTATATACACTGGCCTGTAACCACAAGAGCATTCCTGAAACCTCCTACTCCGTCGCCATCCTGTCACAGATCTGCAGGAACAACGAGGTTGAGGCAGTTTGCGCAGTTGGTGAAGCGCCTAGCGTCTCAGGTGGTTTGCCCCAGTGGTGCTCTCGCGACCCTGTCGACACTTTGGGTATCTCTGACAATTTTCATCATGTGATATTGAGCTATACTTCGTTCCCAATGCAGATATGGCACCTTCAGAAAATCGATCAGCAGAACCTCCTCTCGATAACCTATTCTAGGGTTTAAAGAGCAGTCTTACAAACAAGGCTCTGTCCTCGTCGTGGCCTGCCAACAATTAGAATGGTTCGGTATGCTAGAGTAGCGCCCTATGGTCATGCTCGCCTGAGCTTCTCTTTCCTCTGTAACATGAAAGATTGAGACATCTTCCATGAGGGATGGTGTGGGCGCTTTCGGCGCGCTTTTCGGCAGCAATTTGTTTCTTTAAAATTTGTCGCAATATTGTCTTAAGTTGGTTTTCATTAAGCTTCGTATATTTTGCTTTGAGCATTAAAATGTGAAGCATAGTCATCTGTACATCAGATAAATTTCCGGTGTAGGATACTTGGGATCACATACTGAAACCCAATCGAGGTTGTTTGCGGGTAAATGCACCCACCGCAATTCCGAACTTCTCATAGCCTTATCATCGAAGTGCGAGGTCATTATCTTGCATCCTCTGACTTCTGTACATGAAAATTCTGCTTCATTCCCAGCCTTGGTGAAATGGCTAATATATCCCTTCTCGCCGAATGCTATGTCAGTCTCAACTTTCTTGTCCAGCGCTGACGGTCCTTCGGCCGTCGGAAATGGTCGCCAGCTTGAAATGCGACGAACTCGGGACTCTATAATGGTTCAGAGAACAGACTCTTAAGAGCTTAGCAGCCTACCGTGACCTTGTGTCCAACCCTGGTGATGGCAATGGCAACCCTTCCATCACTGACCTTTGCTCCAGGACTTTTGGAGCTGTGCCATACTGTGCCTCAGCTACAGCCATGATCCTCTACAGCACTTCACCGTAGCTATCTCCAGTCTCGATGAGTCGGCCCGGCTCGGATCCCAGTGTGGCTCTTTTGCGACTCTACGATTCCTGTATTGCTTCGGCCTAGAGCAGCACGGCAAGGCAGTACGTGGCATCTGACAGAACAGTCCGCCTGCACCCTTAGAGCTCATCGCGTTGATAGTTTCGGTTTCCCTCTGGAAGTGTGGCTTGGGGACCTTGACAGCGCTCAAACCCATGATTTTGCAGCATTTCGATTACTATCACAGCCAGAAAATGTACACCAAGTGGACAATAAGGCCCAAGCACTGTGGACTCTGTACTTGCGTCCGATGATTTTGCGCCTGTGTCCTCACTTTACCGGCTGGTCGAGACCGTATAGAGAAATGGCTCAAAATCTCTATCTTCATCCCTCGCCTTACCTAAAACCAGTTTCAAGTTCGAGACGCCGGAGGAAGCCAGACGCCATTTAGACTCAACCTCTGAATTTGTGCTCGCTGAAGCCAAGTCCTCTGTGGCATCTTTGACAGAAGAAGGCCTCAAACTGCAGTTGCGACAGCTTCAAAAGTACCTTGACTAATAGTACTATCGACTGCGTTAAGCTGACTATTGCAAAAGGTAACATCACGTTGGAATCTCGACCGATGTCATCTTAAGCTACGATATCGATACTTCATTATTGGACTAATGGCCATTCCTCTCCAAGATGAAATGCTCTTCGATGACTTCAATCAGGATTTCGACGCCTTGATTGACGGCTCCGACTCTATCCCGAAGCACAAAAGCAAAGCTAATCTCTGGATGTGGACGAGATTAATGATCCCTCCACGACGATAGCTTATTCTTTACCGCGAGCTCGTGCGGGCATCCTTGCATACGAAGACGGGTGTTCCGGCTCTTGTATAGATACAAGAGAGTGGATCTGATATACAACAGTCTAGCCGTTGGAATCCTAGCCGAACAAATTATGATGCTGGAGGAAAGAGATAGCGAAATCAGAGCCTCTTCTGATGTCGAGGCAGCCCGTCGCGTACATATTGTGAACCTGAAGTACAATTCTGGGCATCTGACAAACGCAACACCGTGTGTAACCAGTTTAACTTGGGTTTCAACGATGCTAACACGTTCTTTGACTCACGCCAAAAATGATCATCAACTTTAAGCAGCCGCACGCAAAAGATAACTATGGAGTTCCGCAGACGTCCTTAACTTCGTCAAACAATGGACAGGCAACGATTTCGTCGGGCCTGCTTGCAATGCTCAAACACCGATCCTCCATGAAGGGAATCGTGTCCTCGTAAAGGACGAATAGCCTAGATAGCTGCTTTGAGCCCCTACAGCGCGCCGTGGATTTCGTCTTGGCTGTTAATCATGACTTGGACAGCTTTCGACGCATGCAGATCATGGACTTGGACTTTGACCAAGAATACTTGAAACACTTACAAAAATTTCCGGGAAAGCATGCGGCGTACAAGCTATTGGCAGCTGCCATTCATTAGTAGGACATGATCGTATAGAAATGTCACTGTGAAGGCAGGAGAGCGACTATGACTTGGCAGGAGAAGTTGCTTTAAGTCGCCACTCGTCTATGATTTCATTGAGCGGATCATTCGTGGGTAATATTGTGACTGAGATTTAGTTTTAGGACTCTAACCCTAGTGAGATTGTATTGCCATTCTATGAATGCCATAACAGAAGTAGTGATGACTTAACCCATCCATCGTGGCCTCGTTATTCAGCAATGAAGGTGTACCTTGATACCTGGATATGTTGCTCTGAATATTTCATTAGGTACAGGCACGGACTGACCAGAGATTTCTACAGCTAGATGTGAAGCCATATTACTGTCAAGTTCCATTGCGTCTCATTTCTCACGCGAACGAAACAGCTACCTAGGATGGGTGACTGGATCTGACGACTCAAGTTATCGAAATCAAAACGGATACTGAACCCTTCGTTTACAGATCGCCTTAGGTTCAATGCTGTACACAGATCATTGTGGTGGTGGAGGCCCAGACGGCGAGGGGCCAGAATACCGCGCCTGAAACGAATTTGTCTCAATCCTGTGCAGGAAGAATTATTGGTAAATCACACCAATTTCACTTCTTCGTGATGACTGGAGAGCTTTGTGCTCCCACTGTATCTGGCTCCTGGACATTTAGCAGGCGGTCTCCTCTCCCTTTCAATTCTCCTTCCTCATCCACAACTTGTGCACTTGCGTGGTTGACTTCGTCACCAAATAGTTCCGCAACTTCTTCAAGAGGCATGCCACGTGTGTTCGGGAACCAGAAGAATATCAATGTGGCAAAGGCCATACCAGGAATGATGAGAACGAGGTAGAATTTCCAGCAAATAGTTGAAAATGCGGTCGGTCCAACTTGGAGCCACACGATGTTGATTAGATTCACGCCGGCAACACCGAAACTAATGCCCTTGGCCCGGAGATGAGTTGGAAACAGCTCTCCAAGGTAGACAAATTGGCCACTGTCCAGGCTAGATTCGAAAATAACGATGTAGATCTGCAAGCCGTCAGAAAACGTGACGAGACAACCCAGGGGTCTCCCAACACCTCCCAACAGTCTGGGCAAAGAAGGGAAGGGCTCAAAGGGCTGAACCAACTTACGTAGAACATTGCAACCGCAGCTTGCAAGGCAGCATCGTTAGGGTGGGCCAGGGATTCAGGCGAGGTTGCGTATGTGGCGACAAGAGCCGCTTCGATAGACAGACATAGGAGAGGCCCTGTGATACCGCCTGCGAGAAGGACAGGACGGGACATAGTGTCCACCACCCAAAGTGAGAGTAGACCTCCGCCAAAGGCAAGGGTCAGCCACCCGCACTGGTACAAAAATTGCTTCGTGACCCTAAAGCCCAAGCTTTTGTAAATAGTTGGGCCGTAATTGTTGATCAAGATTGGACCGCAAAACTGGATCGACACGGTGGTGATGAAGGCCAAGATACATCGTTTGCGATAACTTGGCTTCGTGAATAGAGCCCGGTAGGAGCTGTCGAGGCGGTGCTCAATCTCGGCCTGCGCTTTAATCTGTAGGAGTTCGTGCTCGGCTTCGTCGGGTGCGTGTAGTTTCTTGAGGATACGGCTGGCCTCGTCGTCTCTACCTTGGATGACCAACCACCGAGGGCTTTCTGGCAACCAACACAAGCAGGGTAGGAGAATGGCGATGGGTAGACACTGAAGTATCATGGGCCACGCCATTGCCAATTGTTGGAGGCCGGAAGATGCCAGAAACAAAAGCCGACCCAAGCCGCCAGACAGTATCCCAAAAGCAGTGATGCTCCGTGAACTGCAACCAGCGACCCGCGATTATGCGCAGGAACAACCTCATTCATCCAGACTAGAATAGCAGAAACCAGTGCGTAAGAAGCCCACCCTGCCCAAAATCGACAAGCAATGAACATGGCGAGATTGACGCTTCCGGTAAGTAAACCGCCCGTGACAAACACAAGGGCTCCGGGGATTGCGATTCCTGCACGTCGACCCCAGCGATCCGAAGAGAATGCGACGGTGAAAGTCCCAAAAAAACCTCCAGCTTGGTAAAGGGAATTCATCAATCCGATGATGTCGTTCTCGTTGGGGCGAGAGCTAAGGCTGAAGTACGTGTAGAAAGAGGGCTGTGCTAGCGTTGTCGATATTACACTGGCCGAATAACCATATGCTAAGGACCCAAGGGCCATGACCACAATAATGTGTGCATTCATCGGCTTGAACTGACGTTGAGGAAGATGACCTATTTTGCCATGAAGGAGAGCGGCAGAAGGAAAACTGACGGAGTAACAAGCAGCCTTGTTGGAATCCCAGGGAGACTGTGGTAATGCTGTCATGCCTGTCGATACAGGAAAAGAATCCTTCACTATAAATACCACATCGAAAGCGGAGATTTTGCTTGGATTTCTCGGCTGGCGGGAGGGTGAGAAACTCTGTCCCGAGGTTCAGGAAGACGCGGAGAGTTCATAAACGTCCATGGAGGTCTCGATGCACCTTCCTGGAAGCCGTACGAGTAGTGATGCCGCCGATCAAAACGCCCCAGATCATGGTATCAATTCCATGAGAGGATAAGCAAACCGGAGCGGTTGGCAATGAATTTTGGCGGTATGGCGGCTTCCAGGGACCATTTCTTTCTTGAAACCAGTGTAATGGGAGAAGTTGGAAGTGGTGGATAGCGTTATGATTGGCTGGGGCGCCGACCCTAGACTATGGTTCTTCTTATATAGTTCTGGGGGACTATCTTTCATACAATACACAAGCAACCAAGTTACCAACAGAGAGGACTTCCCCTAGTTGAGTGTGCGCGTTGAGAAGAGACTATACCCACCGCCGTACGAGTTGATGCCCATGGCTAGTAGCCTCGCCCCAGTTCACCAGAAGTGTCCGTGAGTGTTAGAATTGCAGAGTATCATCTCCAGACTTGGGGGCCCGGACCGGGGCAAAGCGAGACAAAGTTCATCAGGCAAAATTGCTGAAGCCTATTCTCTGTCCGCCTCGAACATCTCGTCTCGTGTTCTGGAAGATTTGCAGATCTGAAATCGCCACTAACCCTTAAAAGGTGTCACGGTATGGCATTGGTTCGGACCCTGAAAAGCGTGAGGTCTAGTAGTACATCAGCAGTCTTCCTAGCATAGCTTCGTGACATAGGAGAGTTCACCATCCTATAAATTTATGACAATTGATTGACGGCTTGAAAATAAGGAATACAGGTTAAGAGATTTGTGAATTGAAAACACGACATGTACCTGTGTCTAGTTAAACCTGGAAATACATTTACTCACCATGCATCTAGTCGTGCTCTCGGAGCGATCGAGCTTATGGTCAATTACCTCAGTAACTACTTGGCCGTCTGTTACTCTCCAAGCCCAGCCTCGGGCAATGTTATTGATTGTCAGTTTTGACGTCTTGACATGATCTAGAATCAAGGAAGTATCCTCCTCACTTAGCTCCAAGTTCATGTTCATCTCCTGAGCCGACGGCCCGGCGGGAATTCGAGATCCACTTCTTAAGCTTAGCATTAATTTAAAGTGGAAACTACCCGCCGAGCCTTGGAGCTTGCTAGATCAATCTCAGGCCTAATCTGGCAGGACAGTGATGAACCGGGAATACGCTGGAGTGTGCACAAGAAGAAGCAGCAGTAGCATGTCCTCAGACGAGTCGGCTTCTGCTGGCTATTTTCAAGATTGTTAAGGTAGCGTTGAGGACTAGAATATATGGAAACACTATATTATTGTGATCACAGCCATTCCCCGGCAAGAACTCATGCAAAGGACATGGATATAGTGTCATTCTCAACCCATGGCCCGCTAGATGCACTGTTCTGTACATCTGGCCCACCCAGCCACGTGTCCGGGAAGTTGACCAAGTCCGAAAACACATCCGGTGTATGGACATACAAGAAGGGATTGTGTGCAGTGTTAAGTTGCTCGTCCAGGTTTGTAGGTGCCAAGTCTATGGACTTCGGCCCTTCGCTAACCGCAGCTTGAATTGCAGTTTCACCTTCGGCGTTTTGACATCGATCCTGTTCCCATCTTTGACGTTGGTCATATCCCGTCAGGGACATCTTTCCTTGGACCGTTGATGGGGCCTTTCCACAGACCACAGCTGACGCCCTTTTTGTCAGGTCAGGTGCAGCATTCAGCTTGGACTCGACATAGTTCAAGAAGTTCACCGCCCATTCTGCAGCGAGATGACCATCCACAAGTTCCCGAAGGGCTTGTCTGCATTCTTCCAGCCGTTGACGTCCTTCGTAGCGCAGCATGGGGTCATCACTTTTCATGTGGGTAATATGGCTGATACTTATTGGGAAGAGACAGCTTATCACATTGGGGGGCATTTCCTTCATCACATCTGCAGCATAAGCATCCATAATGATTTTGTTCACCTGTATGGCGGCTTTCCGGACTATTGCACGTGGTGCACCTTCAATTTGTCGGGCTGCATTCCGTTCGTCGGGTCCGCCAGATGGAAGGCTCCTCTGTCGATGTATCAAGACAAAACCAGTGTGATACAAAATAGAAAGTAGTGCGCGGTGCACGAATAGTGCCCGTTCGTCCGCATCCGATCGTGAAGGCATTGGACCGACGTGTAAGACTTCGGAAGGCGCATTCTCCAGCCATCCACGAAAGTCATCTTCGATCTCTCTCAGCTCGCGCGGCTCAATATGAGTTCTCCGATGTTTAGGGAAAGAATTAAAGTACAAAATATCGATATTTCCCGTGGATGTCTCGTGATAAGCTTTGAGGAGCACCCTGGTGATAATTCTGCATACGCTAGCTGTTTGTATGCAGATTGCTGCCTGTTGCCTCTGTAGATATAGAGGTTTTGCTCTCATATTTTGGTCGTTGGGCCGTGAATGGACATTTATTTCGAAGTCATCTAGAGTTAGGGGTGTCACTCGAAAATCCGAGTCTCGGATTCGTGGAACTCGATTCGTTGCAACTGAGGCAAACGTGTCTCTGATCGCGCAACTCCACCACAGGCGTCGTCTTAGTGCGCGAGCTTTCGGCTTCAGATATTGGTTATTGATGTCCTGATGCAATCCGATTGCTCTGGCGAGAGAAAGGGCGATACCTAGCCAATGCCAGCCATCCTTGTGTTGGGGTGGTCCTTCCCACCAGAGAGACAGGAGAATGAGGGTCTATGTCACGAACCCACCGTTGTCCCCAAGTACTCTACGCCCTCCACCCGAATCGGGTGGACGGTATAGAAAGAAAAGGAAAGGATAAGGCAAAGGACGGTTGAGGCACAAGGCTATCGGTTAACGCTGCCTTACCCTTTTCACGTGACAGAAAGAGGGGAAGCTATAAGAGTCTCCTCTCACCTGAATCGGCTGAGAGAGAACTCTTCCTTTTTCTCAAGCGTTGAGTCGTTGTTAATAGGGCTACGTGAATAGAACAAGGCATTTAGCTACTCCAATTCCTTTGTACCTACTGCGTTGCGTAGGTCCCTGATAGTCTAGATGTTGCACATAGGGTCTTTTTCATAATCTAAATCATACAACAACTCCAGGGGCGTCAATTAACTATTCATCCGAAAAACCGCAGCCTCACTCACCCGGGTTCTTAGATAAAAGGTCATCCGTGCGGCCTTCCTGGTCAGGAAGCCTCGCCTCCTCAGTAACTTGATATCAACCCAGGATGCTCCCGCAAACATGACCGCTCGGAGAACAGGGAGGATGAATTGCTGATCTGAGTTACCACAAAGGGCTTTGTCCAACAAGTCCAGGTCGAGGAACGGATAACATGGATGGATGTAGTCGATATAGCTCTCGATTAACGCATCCCGAAGCTCTTCGTCAGGGAGAGAACAAGCACCTTTCTGATGGAGATAATTCAGATCCGCCCTTGAAAGACAGGAGGGGGCTAGCTTAACAAACCGTGATACGGGGGAATCAGTTGGTGATGCTTCTGAAGCAGGCCACGTCCTATCAAACGTCGGAGATGCAGATGAATTTGGAGAGCATGGGGGAGGAAGGCTGTTGAGTGCAGCCTCACGCCAATCAATTTCGTCCTCACTATCTTGACTTGACTTGTTATCAAAACCGGCGGATGTTTCTTGTAACCTGGCGGGACCGGAATCTGGACAGGTTTGATCTATGTTACAGGTAGATGGAAGGTGTTGCCGCGATTGATTATTACATGGTCCGACGTCAGCTGTATCGACAGCGGATAAGACTGAAATCTCACTTGAATCTCCTGTTGGCAGACCACTCTGGCGTTTCGTGAGACTGTCTTTGCTTTTAGCGCGACGCTGCCTCGGCAATAGAATGCACTGGACGTCTTCGAAGACGCAATTTGTGCAGGGCTGACTGCCTTTGGCATCACACCTGATCTTTCGTGCTCGGCAAAGAGTACATGCTGCCCGCGCGCGTGGAGGACAGGGGAAACCGTTCCGTCTTTGGCTTGATAGGTAGATGCTTCGGACCGGAGGCTCTCTAACCTCGGGCGTCATTGTGCACATGCGATTGAGGCGAAGAGTTGATCCGAGATTGCATTGGTATTCCTGGCGATGATATTTCGAGCGACCAGTTTCGCGAATGCAGTGGAATCAAGTCGGGATTGTGGTCGTTGGATGGGATTCGGAATAAAGTGAAAGTTGAGAGAAGGATTGGCAGGTGGTTGAATGTCTCGTTATTTAAGGAGCCAACGCCGTTGCGTGGTCTCCAGGTCATGGCAAGCCAGATGGGTTGGGGGTGTGGATCTGGCGGCATAATGCGAGTGCTGGTTGAGACGCATTAATAATAATCAATCGTGTGTCGAAATTCATTCTGGTTTTCCTGTTTGTGCGAACCCGATCGGCGGTACACTCATCAGCCTTCTTAACAATGGAGGCGGAACTTAGGTGTGGTATGTATCGCTGAAAGGTCCAAGTCTATTATCATTGGCCATAGTGTAGAGCACGGGTAATGGAAACACAAAGCGTATAAAAAGTGTGGTTGAGCAACTATCAGCTTCCCTAGCCATGTTCCTAAGCAAAAGACTATGTGTTCTCATGTTGATACTTCCAAAAAATCAATACCGACTCTCTGAAATCTGGTAGAGGTGTTGAGGCCAAGGGGGGAATGCTAAGGAGACTTGGATGGCACCGGAAGCGCTATAGGGATGAAAAACGAGTCTCTGGGTCGCTCCCTCAACCTGATCTTGAAAAAGACTTATGACTCCGCAAAGGTTCGAGTAGATTCTAGTGACCATGCATGGCGTCTTATGAAGAGGGATCAGTATAACGCGCTTCTTTCGAAATTGATCACACTCAATCGTTTGCAAGAAGTGTCTCCCACCGCAGACAAACCAGTGAAACCGTTGAGACCACACAAGGAATCATGTGCTATTTGGAAGCAAGACAGATATTTATCATACTAATTATTTTTACTATGAGCTGCGGTCAGTTTACATTCACATAGGGACATTGATAACCGTGTTCTACCGGTCGGTTTGAAATTGGGTTGACCCCTCAGAATACACGTCAAGACTCTCGCGAAACTTCAACTACATGTAGATGTTTGACTGTAGTGAATTTATAGCTAGGAACCAGTTGACTGCGCGTAGACTGGGGGTACCATTCTAACTTCGGGGGAAGAGCAGAGAGCAGACGCAATAGGATGGCATTCCTTGAGTTCAGAAGCAAGTTCGGCAAAGAAAATAGCCAATGTCCCTCAAATGGTACCTCTGAATTTTTGGTCGTATACGAAATGCAATTGTGCTTTACAAAGAGACACAGATCTGAAATCCCGCTGATAGGGTTACAGCTGCCCTCCCCGAGCATGTCCGGGCCGTCGGAATTGCCTAATTATGACCATCGTCCGCCCCCCTGCCAACTACGTCCCTGCATTTCTGACAAAACCGACGTGATGTCTGTGGAGGAAAAGCGCCGTTTCGAATTTGACAAGCAACGTAAAATTTGGCTTTACTTCGCGAGGAATCATCTCCACGGTAGTTGTTGCGATATAGATATTTGGAAGCGTCACCCACGGCGCAACAACTGCTGAACAGGAAGTCGCAGTTGACAAATTCACTTTCACAGTCCTCACACTTTCCGAACCCCTAATATGGCACCAAACTTCGGCGAACTTTCGGAACAAGCAGCTCTCGGCAGAAAGCTCAGTGGGGAATTTCTAGGAGAGAAATTTTTTCACAATGTGCTCAGTAACATGGTAGGTAATGTCAGGAGCAAGTTCCCCCTGAAAGACTGAGACCCAACGACTTCTCCTAGATCATGGATATGTCTCACGACTAACACAGGGGTGCATAGAAGGACGATATTTTCACAAAAACGAGCATGGAATATATTTGGGAGACATGTTTCGCAGCCTATGCAAGGCCAGGTTTGGAATGGAAGGAGCGGTCGCTCATGAATATCGCTATGTTAATTGCCTTGGGTCGCGGGCCTGAACTTCGCATCCATATCCGTGCGGCTGTGAACAATGGGTTTTCCGAGGAGAAAATTTGCGAAGCTATCCGCCATGCCATGATACACTGTGGTGTTCCAGCTGGACGAGACGCTATGCTGATCGCCAGCGAGGTTATTGGTGAATTAAAGACATCAGGAGAGTATCCAAAGAAAGTATGAGACTCGGTGGCACGTGGCGCGAAGCGCGATTATGGGCTACACTAGAGATTCATTGCCATCAAAGTCGCCGCCCGGTATAGATGGACAGCCAGCTTCATAGGAATTAAGAACGAGCTATCATCTGGATGCATGATAATGTACTGGCCATACTTGTGCCATTTTCTTCATTTTCCGTCATGGAAGCTGAACAGCGTAGAGGCGATCCGAAATAACGGCCTCTGAACACCCAGATGCTCACCCGTGATTTAATTTGTGGTGTTAATTCGGTAAATTTCACCACAGTCCATATCTCCACTGCTATTCGACATGCTGTTCCTTCTTAGACCGTGTAACCCGATTATCGGTCCGAGGAATTTTGCAGGTTCAAGAGGGAAGGCAGAATGCGGGCTGTAAATACCAGCGTCTGTAAGCTCTCTAGTTGCCATAAAAAGACCCCAGCTGGAGATATAGTTCTCTAAGGCATTCGTTTCAAGGTCTTACCCATATGTGCATTGAATATTACATCATGTCATACGACTACAAAGGCCCTATTGATGCCGGCGCCCCTTTCGATGAGAGCCACATCAAAGGCAAGACAGCTATCGTCACTGGAGGTAGATAACCGGTTCCAGAGCTTCTCAATCAGCAAGACTAATAAGATATCTCACAAGCGCCAACGGAATAGGCGAAGCTTATGTCCGACACCTTGTTAAGGCCGGGTAAGGACCATGCTGATATAGAGCGAGCGACGCGGGTCTTAACAGCGGTCGGCGCATTCGTTACAATTGCAGATATGGATGAAGTTCGTGGGAAAGCCCTCGAGAAAGAGCTGTGAGAAGCATGACCATGGCCAGTCTATCCAAAACCTTACTTCGTCCAGCTCAGTCAAGTTCTTCAAATGCAACGTTTGTCATTGGCAGGATCAGCTGGCCGTGTTTAGATCAACATAGTCGGCATCTCCCGGCAGAATTGATATTGCCATCACCAACGCAGGCATCAGTGGCGCTGATGCTGTTCATTTTAATGATCGTATGTGATCTAACCAGGCCCAAAATCTGCTTTGCAATAGTTCTACACTAAAGGCGGTCTCTCAGTCAGCCTCGACGAGCCGGAAGAACCAAGGCTGAATATCCTCGACGTCAATCTCATTGGCGCCCTATATACAATCAAACTTGCCTTGTTTTACTTCCGCAAACAAAGTTTGAGTGGTCAAGTACAAGACCAGAATCTGATATTACAAGGAAGCCTCGCGGGCTACATCGATTTTCCTGGTGCACGACAATACATCTCCTCAAAGTACGGCCTTCGAGGCATTATGAAGTCGTTGAGGAGGTCAGAATTTCAACTTGGCACTCGAACTAATTATGTAGCGCCATGGTAAAGGATCTTCTTGCATCCCTATGATAATTGTACGACTCATTGATTGCAGGTTTGTGAAAACATCTATTCTGAGTCTGACAGCGAAAAATTGGCTCGAATCTTCTGGAATCGAGTTTGCAGAGGTTGGAGATGCGGCACGCTGTGTCATGAGGATCGTTTCGGACCCGACTGTCAACGGTGAGCATATTTTGAGGCAGCAAAAGTGGTGTGGGCTCACGCATTATCGCTCAGGTCGTGTGTTCGGTATCTTGCCACGAAGTCAGGCAGCCCATGGTTTCCTCGACATGAATGTAGACGATTATAAAGAGGGGACGCTGTTAGACGACTTGAATAAAATTGCTGTGGGTGCAAATCACCGTGCCAATGTAGGGACGTCCGAAATTTCGAGCTACAGGAGCTAATATCATCTTCTTAGATCGACCCTAGTCAGCAAAAAACAAACACTCAGTGGTAAAGAACGATTGAAAATCTCTTTTTGGAGAGCCCGCTACATCGGGACGATTTGGTCTTCGGCAGTTGATAACCCCCCGAGAGGAAAATGCTACATTGAGTTGTGCCCAGATCAATATTCCGTGATAGGGGTCGAGAAATCGACGTAGACTTAGCTCAGTGGACAAGACCAAAAAGGAGGTTAGTTAGTTTCAATAGCCATTCACACTGCAACAGCATTCACCGACTATCGGGGTGTATTGCACTTTACCTCGTTTGGGCCAGCCTGAGCTGTACTTCGAGTACGTTCTTCCAGCCTGTTGACCCTCAGAGCCACCCAAATAGAAGGAGGCAAAGCAGACGTATCCTTGTCTGAAGCGCGTTCTACAGGTCAATTACGGGCGCAGCCAAGATTCACTTTCCGACCGGAGACTGCACTTGCTCCCGAAATCCCTAGTTTTCCTCTGAAAAACTTCTGAGCCGTTTGACCATTCCCATTTTTGAAACCTTTGGAATGTACATATCGAAGCAAAAGCACAAAGTGTTAATCTCGTGCGGCTGTTGAACCATCGGATGGGAAACTCCGAGTCTGTGACGATACCTATTCGCCGCGGCCCGTTCGGTTTCCAGGGACAATCAGTATTGGAGTGGTCTGTTCGCAGCTCTAAGCCATGCCATCACGGCTTGATTAAGTCTAGTCAGACTGCATACGATCTTAGCTCCAGAGGAAAGAACCGAAGAACAAAGGTGGGCCGCTGAAAGAAAGAAAAAATGAATAAAAGGCCACTCTCGGACTACTCTTTTCAGGCATATAGCTCTGAGATTTGTCCCGAATTGATCTCCTTGCTTAAACGAGGTAGAAAATCATCGATACAGAAAATTTCAACACTGGCATTGTAGCCTTTCCCTCGCGGTATCAGAGATGGGCGACGCTGGCCGAGTCTCCGCCCGGGTAAACCCACCATCGCACAAGGCTAGCATACCTCTATGCCCTACAACAGCCTTCACTCCCCGCAGGAAACTCAAGGTTATAACTGTCGGGTGCGGATTTTCTGCGCTGATATTCGCACACAAGCTACAACACCAATATCCCGAGTTCCAGGAGCACGTATCGCATAAGATTTTCGAGTTAAGGGATGATATTGGCGGCACTTGGTTAGTGAATCGATACCCTGGTGTACAATGTGATGTGCCCGCTCATGTCTATGTATGTATCTTCTCTCAACTTCAACACAGCAGGGGATAACTGTGATAATAGGCTTTCCCCTTTGATCCGAAGCCTGACTGGAGCCATTTCTACGCAACGGGACAGGACATTCACGCCTACATGAAACAAACAGCCGAGAAATGGAACCTTCTTCGAGATGTATACCTTAACCACAAGGTTACAGAAGCTAGCTGGCGTCAAGATCTCGGACAATGGAAGGTGACAGTTGAAAACAGCGACCGGACAATCATCGAATACGCCGACTTTCTAGTATCAGCTCAAGGTGTATTGAAGTAAGTTTCAAGGGTGAATTCATGCCTCAGGGTTTTTCTCATATTTATAGTAAGTGGCGTTGGCCAGATATCGAAGGCCTAAATAACTTCAAGGGACACAAATGTCATTCTGCCGCTTGGGACGAAAACTACGACTATTCCAACAAGAGAATCGCGGTTATTGGGAATGGATCTTCAGGTGTCCAAATTGTGCCTACGCTTGCAAGTCTACAGGGGACAACGGTTCTTAGCTTTCAAAGGAGCCCTAACTACGTTTACACTCATCTCTCACCAGCACTTATGCTCGGGCGGGAGGATGACGGCCAAAACCCTCCTTTCACCGAAGAGGACAAGGCTCGATTCCGCGAGGACAAGGAGTTCCATCGCAGGTATCGCCGAAAACTTATTCGTGGAATCAGCTCCGCTTTCAAAACGGTTGGTAAACAGGATATCTACTTCCCCCAGGGTAGCTAATATATAAGACACAGTTCTCCAAGGGCTCGACGGAAAACGCAGCAGTCACAGAGGCGGCTCGTAGACAAATGGCTGAAAAACTCAACCACGACCCGGAATTGTGTGCGAAGCTCATCCCAGAGTGGGGTCTGGGCTGTCGTCGAATCACTCCTGGAGAAGGCTACCTGGAATCATTCAAGAAGCCTAACGTCGAGTTGGTGACGAGCGCGGTGGTCAGGGCAACTGGAGATTCAGTTATCACGGCAGACGGTCGAGAGTTCAAGGCCGGCGTGATCGCCTGTGCTACTGGATTTGACGTCTCGTTGACGCCCTCATGGAACATGTTTGGACGAAACGGTGTCAATCTGAACAAGGCGTGGACAGTCGACCCGAAGTCGTACCTCTCAGTCGCTGCGCGGGACATGCCTAACTACTTCATGTTTCTCGGACCCAACGCCGTCATTGCGCACGGCTCATTGCTGGAATCCATCAACTGGACCGCTGATTATATTTTAAAGTGGTTACGCAAGGTTGCTACCGAAAACATCAAGTCAATTACTCCAAAAACTGCAGTAATTGACGAACTAATTCAGTACGGAGACGAAGTACACAAGACGCTAATTTGGTCTGATAGTTGCACAAGCTGGTTCAAACGAAATGTGCCAAACGGTCGGATCACCGCAGCATTTGCGGGAAGTGCCTTATTGTTCCGCAAACTGATAAGCGAGTTACGTGCAGAGGATTTCGACATTGAATACTGGAGTGGCAATCGCTGGTCATTCATGGGCACTGGCTTCACAGAGTACGAACTGAACCCAGAGAATGATCTATCGTGGTACATAGAGCATTAGCTACTAAATTAGTTTTAACGTTGCCGGTTTGTCCTCCCGTTAAATGCTAAGGCTGAATGTGAACCTGGCCCTCTTGCATCTTAACCTCCTTTGCTGTTTGATAGTCTGTCGCCAGCTTGTTATAAAATGAACAGGAATAATATTCATCCTGAAAAGTATAAAATTACGAAAGAGAATAGCCAAAACGGCATGGAAAAGAAAAACGATAGGGTTCGTCGCCTCCTTCGTAAACATGCTTATAAGTTATTACGGCGGAATTTCTGTTCCTCAGCTCTTTTTGGCCTTCCAGGGCTATCAATTCTGTATGAAGTCTCCACCAAATCCATACTAGTACTAGTCCTGTGGTAGTTATACACTTGTGAATTCTCTTGCGTGTTCAAGCCCCCTGCGGTGGGGGAAAGCCGGGTCCCTCTCTTTTAAAGGCATCCACGAGGATGGAATACATCAAGTTGCTGCTCTCAACATCTGTCTGTGACATTGCGACCACGGGGTGACAACTATGCTTGCAATCCGGTGCATTCGTAAGTACATCCATCAGATACCTTGTGAAGGCATATGTGCGACTTCGCCACAAAGTCTTTTGGAGAAACTTCCTCCTTGGGCCTAGCTTAGCGCCTCTGCTCGCGTAAGGGGACATATCCGACCCAAATGGGTGTGATTTGAGCCGACCGGCCCGGCTGGCCTTTGCAGCAGACTCCACTATGACTGGCCCGACGTGCTGTGCCCTAAAAGGCCCGGACCCGGTGGGCCGTTGAACAATTCCATGAGTCCTATACATGCCTAATTCCCATACAAAATAGAATGTCAACATTGAGGGATAACATGCTTGTGGCCTCTATTCTACAGGAGCATTCTCCAATGGAAGTAACCTGGTCCTAAAATACATTGAAATAGGGCACGTGGGCTGATACTTAAACCTGCATACTCGGCGCAATGGCGGTGGAGATCGGATTCATCGGTGCGTGTGCTCGACGAATGTCATTATGGACTAACAGACAAAGGGATCGGAAACATGGGTTTTCAGATGGCTGGAAATGTGCGCAAGAAGATGGAGGGCTCTGCAACGCTCCATATTTTTGATGTGAACCGTGCGGCGTGTCAACAATTCGCGGAGAAATTTTGTGATTTTGGTTCTATTAGGATTGCAAGTTCCTCGAAAGAGGTTGCGAACGATTCTCCAACAGTCATTTCAATGGTGCCTATGGATCAACATTGTCGAACAGTTTATCTCGATCATGAAACTGGGGTCATCGCCGCTCGCGCCGATCCAAATCGATTAATCTTAGAATGCAGCACTATCAGTATTACAACAACTCAAGAGATAGGTAAAGCTATCATGGATGCTGGCCGTGGGAGCTATATTGATACACCAGTCTCTGGTGGTGTTGGCGGCGCAGAGGCTGCCACGCTGTCATTCTTTGCGGATATCTAAATGGCGCAGACCAAGATCCCCTCGCACAACGTGTCAAAGACGTGGTAGGCTGGATGGGTGCGGCTGAGCGGATCAATTTCTGCGGCTTTCTCGGAGCAAGACTTGTGAACAAGGTTGTCAACAACTATATAGGTCTTTGCAATCTTGCCGTGGCCGCCCAGGGCATGGCTGTTGGGGTGCGACATGGAATGGATAAAGAAACCCTGTATAGGTGTATCAAAGGATCCAGCGGCGACTCTTGGGTTCTGGATTTCTCACAACCTGTGCCAGGGATCATTGTGCGAAGTACATCTAGTAACGGCTTCCGACCTGGATTTACGCCTTGCTTGTGTCTCAAAGATATCTCCCTCGCGATCAAAGCGGCACAGGAAGTGGGCATCAACGCAACTATGGGAGAGACTGCTCTTAAAGAGTATGAGAAGGCCGACCAGGATCCACGAACAACGGGTGAGTTTTCTTCGTACCCTGCGAATCATGATGTCTAACGAGTCGGTTGCTCCGTCCAGAATCTCGACTGCTCGTCTATCTGGCTACACATTAATGACGAAATTGATGCCTTTTGCAAACCAAAATGAGATATCCCCGCAGTGGTAACAACTGTGGCTTTCTTCCGTTTATAAGCCAGCTAGAGTACAGAACACTTCATCGAAGAATTTAGCTGTTTCCCGCTCCTAAAAGTCGTCTGTTCCCCAAAATAATTGCCACAAAATACTTCCACAATCGTCTAAATTGATTCCCACGGCTAATCACTCTGTCTGGAGGAAGTAATTCGCCGAATAGGAGTTAAAAGTTTAAATTCGGGCTGATGAGGGAGAGAATTGCTTCATTGTACGTGACAGCAGACGCCGATATCAAGAACCTAGAGGGTTTAAGGGACATTGGGAAACATAGTCACCAGTTAGACAACTGGAAATTCAATCCTGAAATGACACTTCCGGGTTGAGATCTGTATTTCAGGCGTTCTCTAAGTTTAAGGAGAGCCACATGATGTTCCCGGCACTAGGCGCACACGTTGGCCTATCTCCTATCACGTCTTTGCTGCATAAACTTCATCAGTGACTGGATCGTACCAGTCCAACCTGCCGAAAGAGATGGCTTCGTGCGACATGAAGCTCCCATCGTCTGCCCCATGCCAGTGGATGCCATCAGGAGGGCACCAGATGATATCACCGACTGCTATTCTTCTGGGTTTCTCGCCTTGGTCACAAACCCATCCCGAGCCGGCAGTGACCTTGAGCAGCTGTCCTCCCTCATGTTTATGCCAGTGGGTTCGCGCGCAGGGATCAAAGTTGACGTGGACTATGGTAGTGTCCTTGCGCATCGGGATCGGATCGAGATAGACCTGTCCTTCGGCGAAGACGCCCATCTGCTTGGTGCCGTTGATCGAGTCAACACCTGCCCGTCCATTTGTGACAAACGCAGATGTTGGAGGCTTCTCGCTGGTATCTCTCGTCTTGGTCTCGACAGGCATTGCGACAGTGGAAGCTGTCGCTTTTGTGATTGTTAGGGGGGCTTTCGTATTTGCAATATTGTCGAACGGAAATGTCTTTCAGACTCAAAGCTATATAACGGTTGACTATGATATATGTGAAACAAGGAAGTTTCTCTCACGGAGCTCGTCTAATCAATTAGTGGATCGGCGATGAATGAACGATGACAGTATATAGTCCCAAAATGCCGTCGAAATTGGACCGCGGCTCTATGCGGGTTGATGTTACAGATGTGGCTTTCTAACAGAGGGCCTCCACCATGGGTCCACGGCTATTGAACAGCGTATGATCGCATATCATTGGCTTAGATCTGCCACAAGAGGCTGATATTCATCTGGGGTATACTCTGTAGGCCGTGGATATCGACAATGTTCGGTTGTGAACCTGAAGGCTCAGCTAGCCTATCGATTTCAGGATGTTACTTCGGCGATAACAGCCGTTGACCACTAGGAAGGATCGAGAGATCTTTCCTTGCGCTGCTCATTTAATAAATTGCAACATAAGAGTGGTAACTCCTGGAATTTAGTCCGCCGCACATAGAGCCGAGTTTCTTGGTCTTGCGCGAGCCCCTTTCTGCCACGGCCCGAACGGGCTACCGGGCATTGCCCAATAAGGACGCTTAGTTGGAACATCCCCGCGGTTTTGGGGTAACTCTGGGAAACGTCGTGTAGCGACAAGACTTGTTCACGGTTTCTGATGCTGCGCAGACTTGAACAAACATTGTTGCAACGGATAATTAATAGTTACGCAGGGTCCAAGACAGAACACCTAGACTCTTCGACGATCAATATACCGCCATTGCCGTTCCCATCTCTCGAGTGCATCTTTCAAAAGGATTATATCAATCATGGAAACGGTGACCTTCCCAAAGACAATGCTGGCTTGGCAGAAGCATGTTCCGAGCACGACGCCAGTGAGTTGAAGAACGGTGCCGCTTTTATTCAACTTCAAAGTCGGAGTCGTACACGGCTGAGCATAAGAATATAGGTCCGGGTTGAAGTCCCAGTCCCAATCCCAGAAGGCGACGAGATTCTCATCAAGATTCTCGCCGCCGGAGGCAAGCCTGCACCTTTCTAGTCCCCATTAACTGGTGCTGACGTGAAAACCATAGTGTGCCATAGCGATTACTCATTGCGAGAGATGACGACCCTTCCACCAGAGTTCTCAAAAGGGAGTGGTAAATTCACTTTTGTGGGTGAGGCTGTCGGCAGTCTTTCTCTTTGGCAGGATCTCCTTCCATATACTTACGACTCCTCCTAGGGCCATGAGGGCTGCGGCAAGATTGTTGCTTTAGGGCCGGAAGCTAAAAAGTACAAGATTGGCGATGTAGTGGCGATCATGTGTGTTCCTGGCTGTGGTAAATCAACCTGTCACGAGTGCTCGAACGGAGTTCCTCAGATCTGCTTGCAAGGGCCAAGATATGGAGGTGGAGATGATGGCTTCAACGCTGCCTACACCAAAGTTCGAGAGACTGCAGCAGTCAAGGTCCCTGAGGGGGTCAGTGCGGCTGCCGGCGCCGTAGCCACTGATGCATGCATGACTGCCTACCACGCAGTCGTCGGTCGAGCGGCGGTTAAGAAGAAGGAACCTGTTTTGATCTTCGGACTTGGGGGCCTAGGTTTCAATGCTCTTCAAATTGTCATCCATATCGGTGCACGCGCTATCGTTGTCGATCAGCGACAGGTTGTGCTGGATGAGGCTTTGAAGTTGGGCGTCAAGCCTGAAGATGTCATACCTGCCGGCACAACTGATGTAGCCGGATGGGTTAAGGAGAAAAAATTAATAATCGATAAGGTCATTGACTTTGTTGCAGTGTCTGACACATTTAAAGCAGGCGTGCTAAGCGGTAAGATTTGCTCTCCGATGGCTAAACCTTTTCCTATCAAGCTGACTCCCGGCAATTTTAGCCCGTCTTTCAGGAACCATAGTCCTCGTGGGTTTGCTCAGCCCCGAATTGCCATTGGCCTGCCCAATTGTCGTCCGAAGGCAGCTCAATATCCTGGGTAGCTATGGAGGCACCATCCAGGACGTAGAAGCGTGCCTTGACCTGATTCAAAAACATGTGATTATCCCTCACGTTGTCACCGAAAGTCTGAAGGATTTCCCTACTTTGCTAGAGGATCTCCACCATGGCAAGATCAAGGGCAGAGTTGCGATGATTCCAGAAGGCCTCGACAGCCCGTAGCATAGACGGAAGTACATATGGAAACCTATTTACGCAGAGCTTACAACATATCTTGTTTCCCTGAAAGCATGAAAGGAGCTTCCAACTGCCACTTTCCTCATTTCGCCGTACAAAATGAAATGTGACCATAAAGTTGAGCATCTGTAGATCCCAAGCGAATCTCCTCAGAGAAGAACTAAATTTGTTCGAAGCATCGTTTGTGCCTCGACCGAAGTGTACTACTAAGTAATATCTACCTCAACCCATCTGCTGCAGTCATTGTTCAGCTTTATTTATTGCAGTGAAGCTAGAAGCTGATGTGGCCTATGCTACGAATGTAGTTATCGTCTTTATTCCAGAGCCTGTGTAACATCCTGCAAGAATAACCAGCGAGCCTTATTGTCGGAGTCCTTAACCTTCCAGTTCTTGAGCGTTCCATGTGGGAACCACTCAATTCCGACACGTGGATCCAGCAAGGTTGCATCGTGAGCGATGATGACGAAAACGTTGTCCGCAGCATCGAATTCCTGCATCAGCCCACACGAGTGGTCGGCTTGTTGTTTGTTGTGTGGAACTTCATCGTGAAGGTGGTAGAAAGGGTCGACTGCCTTCTTGCGCGGGTGGATCGACTCAAAGATATGACCAGGGCAAGTCGAAGCATACTTAGCAACATAGGGAGACGGCGTAATATCTTTGGGGATGGGAAGGTATTCAGTTGGTCTGAATTCTCCGCCATGGTGAGCTGTATCAGCTCCCATCAAGACAAATGTATCTTCAGGGTCGCCATCTTGAGTCGATGTCACACGGGCAAGACCAACTACGTGCCCAATAGCATGGCCAGGCGCATCAAGGATATAGAAGGACCCATCTCCGAAATAGTCGATACCTCTGTAATTACCGACTTTGTGTGTCGGCCCCTTGTCGAAGTCAATTTCTTGGTACTCGCGACCCACAAAGTCACTCTCAAGAAGAGGCGATTCGCCGTTGTGAGGATAAGCCGGAAAGGAAGCACCTTTACTCCCCCTCCTCCGATCAACTTGGTACTGTCAGGGAAGGTGGAAACATCACCGGTGTGGTCGAAATGCCAGTGGCTCCAGATAACCGCTTTGATCGAGCCACCAGCGACATCAACCCCATTTTCCTGCAAAATATCGGCCACATTCTTTTTGAATCTCCATTGCCCAGCCAGGTCCCGAGATGAGTTTGAGAACGGCAGGAGGGTGACTTTGCCAGTCCTTTCTCAATCCCAGATCAAACAGGATTTTCCTGCCAGACTTTTGCTGCTCTATCAAGAAGCTGAATGCCGGAGCGTTGAGATGTTCGTGTCCGGGTATGGCCGGGTGCATGAAGAGGCCGACAGGTGCCTGTATCCTAGAGGTGGTATCAATGATTGAAACTGTGGCAGAAGCACCTTTGGGGATTTTTAGCGTAGGAGCGGCCTTGGCCGGGTGAATGGTGTAGCTAGACGCCATTGCAGCCGTTGTGTTGCTTGGGGTCCTTCGAACGGAGCTGGAAATCTGTTGACTAGGGCGACGGTGATCACAAGCTGATAGAAGGTGCTGGTGAGATCTGGAAGAATAAAGGACAATCGGATGCTAGAGGGCACAAATCATAAATCCGGCTGAGCTGCTAGTGATGTATGCCCTGTAGATTGTTTGACACGAGGTTGATGATGCTACAGTAGGTCCCTCACCTTAGCCGGCAGAGCAATTCATCCGCGGTCCGGAGTAAGGCGCGGCCGGAGAAAACAGCACGGGCCGCTTCAGCGTAGCAATGTCATCTTTCCAAAACAGGGATCAGTCTAACATTCATTGTCTCGATTGTTCTCTGCTGCAAGTCAGACGGTTGCCCTGCCGGTCAGGTCTACAAGTTCGAGGGTCAGCAGCCTGGAAGTATATGTCTGCTCGGAATAAATGTTTGCTGTCGTCGAAATCAGAGCGGGAATGTGGTAGAGCAGTTGATGGCTTGCGGAACGCAGCAGACCGTCAAATGACTGTTGGACCTCGAACACTCCTCGGTGAGGGAAGAATGACGGCAGAGAGAGAGAACTGTGCGGCCCCGTGATGATAGAGTTTGGAGTTCGCGTTTACTATTCACCGTGCATTTCACGGCAGGCAAGCTTGGTTCCAAACAATTTGTAAACTGCAGAAAATATTAGGACTTCATAAGGGGGACTGCCAGGTAGTGGATCAGGCAAAGAATCAGTTACGTAAAGCTCAAGTCACGTAGAGCAGCCTTCGCTCATCATCTAGCATCCAGCAGTACAAGACAAATAGGTTTTCCGACTGCGAGCAGGTAATCTAGGTAGTCGACATTGTACTCATTCTGTCCTGCCCCTCTCTTCCCCTCAAATGCACTAAAAATGCAGTGAGACTGTCACTTTTCCTCCCGTCCTCTCCTCTCAATATACACTAAAAGTGCAGTGCAACTCACTCCTGATGAGCTTCATGCACCGGTGGTTACGGTACGTGTTATGTGGCGCTAATTTTCCCGCCATATGACCGATAATGGCACCCCGCTTGTATACGACGTGGCCAGCTGTCTTTGCGACGGTTTGCAGACCGCCACCTTGCCCTCGTATCCTCAGATTCGAGACTGTGCCTCGTGACGGACTCGGATGCACTCACACTTGCTCCAAGTACACAGATCGCACGGGCGTTCGGCGGAAGGAGGTAAAATCGTCGGATCAAGCGGCACGTCCATGCGTGTCAAGTTCATTACCGGCAAGGGGTGTCGGATAGCTGCTTTTGATGAGTCCTAGTTGGTCGTTTATTCCTCTTCCATGTCAGAGTGGCTAGCAATCTAGACCGTCTCGTCTCTGTGCACCTTCTTGTGTCGGAGCAAGTTGGAACAACCGAGAAGTGTCGTCCCCAACCCTCAACGTCGCATGCAAAAGGCCTTACGCCCGTGTGGCCGTACATGTGTGTCTGCAAGGAACTTGGGCGTGTGAAGCGCTTGTTGCAAACCTTGCATTGTGCTTCGTTTGTGAGTTGGCGGACTTTTTGGATGAAAACAGTCCCATCATAGACTGAGGTGCCAGCGGTCTCCCTGGAGCTTTCAACATCTGAGCGAGGCGGGGAAGCGTCCGAGAGGCAGTTATCCATTCATAACCAGCGTCTGATGCTGCTGAGCTATAATCTATAGCTGAATCAGTTACAGATTTTCAGTCGTGCTGGACCAGTTTTAGATCCATCCCTTCCATTGCCGGGAATAGGGCTTTGAGGACAGAAAGTTGGTCAGAGCGTCCAGTGTTGACGTAGACGTTCGCAAGTTGTTTCACAACGACAGCCGTTCGAGGATCATCTTTGCAGAGCCCATTTTCCTGCGTAATCTTGCGCAGTATCTTCGTGCAGTTCTTCTCGGCTTCCTCCAGCCGACCAGAGCAAATCTGCACATGGATGTACCCAGACATGGTTTGAATCCAGTCAGGATGGTCATCTTTGATGTGAGAGAGCATTTCGAGAAGGAACTTTTCAGCATCATACCATTTCCCGCACAGCACATATGCTCGAGCAAGATTGCCCTTGGTCATGTTCATTCCAACATGTTCCTTCCCAAGTGTGCGTTCTACCACCGGTATCAATTCTGTCAGCATGTTTACGGCTTGTAATGGCCGGCCACGCTCACAAAGAACCTTTGATAGATCGTTCACCGACCACAGAGTGTACGCATGCTCTTCCCCAAGTACTTGCTTGCGTGCTTCAAGGACGTTGGCCACAAGTCGTTCCGCAACACCAAGGCGTTCTTTCCGCGCACAAAAACACATTCCGAGCTCGTTTCTTGCCATGAGCGTGTCCGGGTGGTTCTGACCAAAAAGTTTCTTTCTCTTCAGTAGCACTGACAATAATAACTTGTGGGCTTTCCCCAGGTCTCCAGCATGGAGGTATGTACGACCTAAGTTGAACATTGCGTTTAGTGTTCGAGGATCATCTGGACCGATCCTTCTCAGCAAGCCGTTCACAGCGCGCTCGCCGGTCCTTTTGGAGAGATTTCTTCTCCCTGCCAGCCACAGTGTTTGGGTAAGGTCATCCAGCGCGATACAATAGCTGATGTGATCCGGCGTCCATGGCGGCGCCCAGTACACAACAGATGGCCTTGACCACCATCGCGCGTTAAGAATTTCTCGTTGGACCTCGAGGGCCGCCTCCACCTTGAAGAGATTCCAATATATGTGAGACAGGCTGCGCTGAGCCCTTAGAGAATCTTCGTGCGTTCTGCCCAGTGTTCGAACTCTGTACTCGATGATTTTACTCTGTAACCCGAGAGCTGGCTTCCAGAGGCCACTTTCTGCGTATACCCATGCAAACCTCTCCATTTGGTCTGCCCTTTCACTTGTTTGCGGGAACGACGGAGTGTGAATTTCAAGCATCTGCAGGCATGATTCAATATGAGGTAAAAGAAGCCTTCGAAACCTTCGTCCGGACGCTTCAAGGTTCGGGGAGATGCATCGGACCAGAAGCCTGATGGTACAATCAAGCCAGCTGACTAGTTGCTTTCTATCGGACAACCTAGTCCTGGCCCATCTATGAATGACAGGGTGCAGTGAGCATACTTCGCGCTCCGCATCATGGTCAATGATCGAGTAGTCACACAGGACTCCGATGGCCCGTCTAAGCCGCGTCTGCGCTTCTTCAGAACGACTCGAATCAAGTCGAAGAAGATCTGGCAGTAAATTCCCTGAAGAGGAACCACTCTCGCTCACTGCCCATGAAACATGAAAGATGTGCTCCGATATCGAACTGAAATGCAGAAACGCGAATATGTGCATCAAGACAACCGCGTCCTTATACTCGACAGATTCCCGCTTCTCAATTCTTCTGAAAGGTATCTCCCAAGTAGTAATGACGTCGGTCTCTTCAGCACTTATGGACTTCGGGGAACTGAGCAGGCGATGGCGGTAACCAAGGTAAAAGTGGAGATATTTCTCAAGAGTGTAGACCTTGCGACGAATTGTTGCTCCTGCGTGATCCAATGCTATAGCGAGGTAGCCTAGTTCGGCAGCAATCCTCTGGGCCAGGGTGCGTTTAGTTGAACCCGTCTCACTTGCTTGATCGCTCGGATACGCCGACTTGAGCAGGAGGGTTATAGCTTCCTCAGGATCCAAGCCCTGAAGCCGGAAAGAACCAGCTGTAGCATAGATGGTCACGTTTGGATTGCGCGTCGTGATGAGAACATGCCCATGCACTCCAGCAGGAATAAACTCTGAAATGTCCAATTCGGGATCGTCGGCATTGTCAAGCACTAACAGCCACGGCTTGGTGGATTGGGATAACCAATACTTGCCGGCTGAAAAGGTAGACCCTTTGCCTGCTTGTTGTCCTAGCAACGCGAAGCCAGCTTCCGCGTTCTCGCGGGAGCTGGCATCGATCCAGAAGACGCCCCAGTAACTAAGAGATGCTGTCAGAAGCAGTTCCAATGCAGTACCATGGTAGGTTACCTTGATCGATTCGCTTCCGCGTATCTTAGGCAGAATTGAGTTTTTCCAGAACCTCCTAATCCGTAGATGGCCACAATCATGTGCTTGCCATCATCAACCTGCACGGCATCAGGATTTAGTTTTTCCTTAACTCTATCTGCCAGTAGCTGCCTTCCGACAAATTGAGGACGGGAGCAACGAGGTACGCAGTACAGTTCGTTCAAGCCGTACGCATCTGCTTCTCTTGAAAGGGACGGCTCCAACCAACGTCGAGCTACAGGTGTCTCAGCAACACCGGAGAATTCCGAAGTGCTTTTTGCACTGTAAGAGTAGTAATTGTTGCCGAAATGCACTCTGCTTTCATTGATGAGATTCCGCTCAAACGACTGGCCAGCCATGCCGAAATCATACCAACACTTTGTAGGGAAGATTTTGTGTATTGGTGGTGCTGGATAGAACGACTTTGAGAGAGAAGGACAAAGAGCGTTCCCTCGGGAACGTACTTGGGAGCGCGGGGACTGAGCCATCGTTCCGCTTGGGCCGTTCCGCGTCATACAGCGAGCTAAAAATTATCACGGCGCTTAACATTCTTAGTTGCCGTCGGAGGTCAGCTTCAACTGTGGGGCTTTGAAGTTTCACCAGACGCACTGCGGGTCTATTATTTCAGGAGTACAGGAACTGCCAAGCCTCGGCATGAAGTATCATCACTCTGCAGTCTCTTACTTCGGGACACGCAAGGATCTCTGCTCGTTAGGCAGCCTCCAGATCGCGTTGCTCTTTCGCCGGCTGCCATCGTCGTCCACAAGCACTTCGAAGCGGGAAAGTTAACGAGTTCCAGCCAAAGAGAGCCACTCACCTCTTAGAGCTCGACGTTCTAAGTTTCGATATTTTGCTTCCCACCTTGCAAAATTTGATGACATGGTTTTGTGGTTGATTGTCTCTTATAGATAGTAACAGGCAGGATGAGCTTGTTATGATTGTCACGCTAGACACCTCGAAACTGCTGTGCTTTCTGAGCTCCTTTTGATTGGGGGTAGAAGAGCCGAGCGGGGTGATTGTTACACGACAAGTGACATTGCGGACCTACGACCCTAAGGATCCAGGGGCCAATGGCGCTAACGCGCCACACCGAAACCAAATCTGCCGTCCTCAGCGCCTAGGGCTTTTGATATCTCTCAGTCGCTCTCAGTTTCCACCTACTTCCTCTTTCTTCGGTTGCTGCTGTGTTTTCCACCTCTTGATCGATATTACGCTGTGCCATGTGGACAATGTCCTCAGTTTTCATAGCTTTGGGATGGATATTCGCATTTTATGTTTATCATGCCATCAACATTTTCAAGCAACGTCGTGTAAGTGTGTTTAGCGCTTGGATCCAGCTACGAAATTCCTGATTCCTCTGCAGTATGATATGCAAATGGGAGTGGCTCGTGGGTGTCAACCACCTCCAAGGCTGTTGAATCAGAGACCGCTTGGTTTGGACCGCCTCGAGCAAATATTCAGGGCGGACAGCGAATCTCGCCTGATGGAGCTGTTTTTATTTCATTTCAGGCTTTGGGGCACAACCCTCGAGCAAGTATTCCTTGGCTCCCAGGCTTTCGGAACAATAGAACCAGCGAACCTTGAAGCTATTCTGAGCACCCAGTTTGAAGACTGGGGCATGGGCCCAAGACGAAAAGTCATGTTCCCTTTTTTTGGAGACGGCATATTCACCCAGGAAGGTGCTGACTGGAAACATTCGCGCGAAATGCTGAGGCCCCAGTTTGTGTTTAAGCAGTACGAAGATCTGGAAGTGTTTCGAGAACCGGTCGCCAATCTTCTGGAAGCGCTGCCTGCAAACGGAGTTGTCGATCTCCAACCGTTCTTCTTCCGGTTGACCTTAGATGTGACCACAGCATTCTTGTTTGGAGAGTCCGTACACTCCCTAGAAAGGCTTGGGACACCAGGAGAATCTGAATTCGCCAGTGCGTTCAACACAGCTCAAGATTTCATTGCGAAAAGGATGAGACTACAGGACCTCTATTGGCTTGTGGGTGGAAGGAAATTTCGGCAAGCCTGCAGTGATGTTCATCGCTTTGCAGATCAGATCATTGATCGAAATCTGTCCAGAGACTCGAGGCGCATTGAAGGACAAAAGAAATATGTGTTTCTTGACTTCCTTGCCAGAAATACCCCAGATCGGAAGGCATTGCGAAGCCAAATCATAAACATCTTGGTTGCCGGCAGAGATACTACCGCATGCCTCATCTCGTGGACACTGTGAGTGGGCATGCAAAGGCCCGTCCAATTGCCCGATCAGGCTAACAAGAATTGCAGCTTCCTTCTCGTGCGGCACCCCAATGTCATGGACAAACTAAGATCAGAGATCGCATGCACCTTCGACAGCAGAGCGGAGGTTACACGATCGGACCTGAGAAAAATGAACTACTTGCAAAATGTCTTAAAAGAGAGTAAGACCCTATGGTATCAGCCATACTTCCGCCAATCCCATCCTGACTTACAAATGCAGCCCTCAGACTTTATCCTTCTGTTCCGGTGAACTCTCGGACAGCTCTGAAGACCACTGTCCTCCCAGTTGGTGGCGGGCCGGATCACAAATCGCCAGTGCTTGTACCTAAAGGGGCTTCGGTTGCATACAGCGTGTACTCAATGCATAGACGGCCTGACTTCTACGGAATGGATGCAGAAGTATTTCGGCCCGAGCGATGGGAGGAACATATGCCCCTTAATGACGATCCAACCAATGCAAAATGGGGGTATCTTCCCTTCAACGGTGGGCCGCGAACATGCCTAGGATTGGATTTTGGCCTGACCGAGGCGGCATATACTATCGTGCATCTGATTCAGAGGTTCCCTGTGATTAGATTACCCCCCGGAGAGAAGGTCGAGTTAATTGGCGTCGAGAAGCAGACGATGACTCTAGTGGTTTCAATAACCGAGGGTTGCAAGGTTGAGGTGAGCAGAGATCAGAAATGAAAGCATCATAAGCCTACCATCCCCAAACGAAACCCGAAACATCCCATTGGGCTCCAGAGTACTAGTTCCGTAGGCCCACCAGGTGTGGACAGTGATGTTCCACAAGCACGTTGACGGAGAGCAGAAGTTGAGACATCTGTAACAAGTACGCAAAAGAGGGAAATTTTTCGGAAGGGTGGAAAGATCGGTCTACCACCTTAGCGATGCCGTTGTGAGTCTCATGGTTAGACTTTACTGCATTGTCGATGGTCTTGTTTCTTCAGTCGTCGAGCACACTCTTCCCTCCGAATTGATTCCCATAGTGCACTCTTGAACTGCCCTGTGCAGTGTTTCCGCCATATCTGTGCCCAGCTCCAGTGCTAGTTACTCCGACCGCATGTTCATCCCCATACCTGACTCGAGCATTCTCCATGGCCATGTTGTCTCTAAAAGTGTGACCACTTTGGCTTGCAATTGCCTGCTGCACGGAATCTTGAAGTTGCTGATCGACCCCTTCAGCCGCTTCTTCCAAAGCATCAAGACGGCGCTCTTCCTTCAATTCTTCAGCCTCTTGAGCACTTAGCTGCTGCTGACGATCCTGGATGGCTGGAAAGAGCTCCACTAAGGCATCAACAAGTGCTGTGACATCTTCGATCAGCCTGCGGAAGTTTTTCTCCTCGTACAACGCCCAAGCCGCTTTCCGTACGAAGCTGCTTCGCTTCTGGCGCTTGAGTGCTAGTTCTCGCATCTTTTTGTGTATCGATAAGATGTCTGGCTCAAGCTCGTCGTCAGCATTGTATACGGCTAGCTCGTCGCCGGTAGCCTTTGCCTTGTATTTTTCCGAGACTCTTTCTGCGTCGGCAAACAACTCGATGATCTCCCCCAAGATCTCTCCAACCTTCTGAGCTTTTTTCGTAGTGTCAATAGCCGCCTGGTAGGAGTCTGAAGAGTTGTTCACAGCCTCTGCCCACCGCGACAGCCGGAGCTTCACAACATCGAGCCTCAAAAGGGAGCGTTGGTAGTTTTTCCCGAAGTTGCGACCTATTTGGACGTATTCGAAACAATCGACACAGTTAGTAAAGAGACCGGCGACGCTAACAGCGCCAATGACCAGTCCGGCTGCTTCTGCCATCCTATTTCGCTTGGAGAGGTGAGACCGAACGAGAGGGCCGCTGAGGTGTGTATTGGCAAAACAACAACTTTGGGATGAATACACCCTTGTGTTCAAAGGGAGAAGATCGAATTGTTGTGATGTCTCAGCGTCGTTGTTTTGGTGTACAAGTGGTTTTGATCAGATCACTTGTCCAGCGTCACGCTTCTGGATGCGCAGGGAACCCGTTGTTGCCCGTTGACGCGCTCACTAGCCTCCGTCTAGGCTAGTAATAAGCTCGCGGGGTGACGGCAACTGCGCCCATTCCACCGATTTTACCAACAGTGCATATCTGCGCCTGAGACATCAAGGAATTTGCGGTCCTGGACCAAGCCTTGGATAGGACGGTATGGTCTCTTCATTCGTTGGTGAAGTAGCTAACCATGGTTAACAGGCACACTAGAATGCCATTGCTTCTCTGCTCCTCGATAGAGTTCTCCGCTGGACGACTTGCGGACGTGGTTACGGCAGGGCGGATGTCATGGTTGACTTCTGAATGATGAGTTTTCCGCTGCCTTGAAAGCCAGAATTTCTCTCACCGGTTCCTCGTATGCCGTTGTTGCCTCGCGACCCCCACCCAAGCCATCATTCGCATCTACGCTGGGCCAACCGCCCGTTGCGACACCACAAATTCCGAGGGCTCATAAAGTCCACTTTCTGAGCCCGGCAGCCAACATGCTGTCTGCAGTAGCATCTTTCGACTTGTCCTGCGCGTACGACCTTCCATCTCAGAGTCGATCCGATTTCATTAACAACTACCCAAGCACGATGCCGTTCAACACCCTCATCCTCAGCCAGTCCTTCGATGCCTGCGCCGGATATGGCCATCAACCTTACCACGCCCCAAACAAACACGCTCACAATGCTCTTACTCTGAGGTCCATCTTGACAATGTGAATAAGAATTGCACACCTTTTTTATGTCATTAACTCTGGCCGTTGCGCTTGCTAGTGCTTCATCCGTCCAGCATGTCATAGTCCAGTGTAACGATGGCGTAATCCTTTGAATCGACGGTAATGGTTAGGCTTGCTTCGCGATCTCTGACAACACTGATTATCTAAAGGTTGGCCAGTTGTAATACCATAGGCAAGAGGACTTACACATTTCCATGCCCTGCTAACTCAAATCCGCCTTCATCTTGCAGTCTGAGGACGGGGCTTGGCCGTCGCAGAGGAACGACTATCTGAAAGAGAAGTCCTGCAATTGCTTTCTCGTCTTTGATGGATAGAGTGTCTGTTCTTGTTGCGTTTCGCGCGTATAATTGAAGCAATTTAGCTCGAGGGAAACAACCTTGCACAATGAAGTCAAGAACCCGCAGTTTTTGAGCTTGAATCATACTTGATGTAGCCGATATCCTCCTGACCCTCTTGCTTGCAATTTCCTGTGGTAGGAGACTCCTTCGCTTAATATGAATATAACCACCATCTTGTGGTAACGAATACAGCACCTGAGCAGTCCGTCGCTCAATATCCTCGCTGCCGCTCACCGTCCAGATATTCTGCAATGTGACATATCCCCATTTGCTGTGAAGCTCACGCGCCTGTTGTAGATGGGCCTCCGATAGTCCTACACTGCACTCCGCCTCACTCAAAACGATTGTGTTGTGATCGGGCATTGTTCCACAGCTGCCTAAGGAGGAGTAACACCGAAAAGACCTTCCCAGGGGGTTTCCCCGCCGCTAAGAACTTTATGGAGGGCCGATAAAGTTGACTTCACATCGACGACAAAAAATCGTCTTCGAAGTCCGATATGCAAAAAGGCATGGGTGTGAACGCGTCACCTACGGGACACGGTTCGGTATGACCTTTACGCTGACTTAAGTCCCACCACCAAGTTTTACACCAACCCTGTTTTATACCCCGCGTTCTATCACCCCACCACCTCTCTACCAACTCAATCAACCAACTACCACTCAACTAATTCGCCTTTAATCACGCGTAAATGGCCTCGAAACGAGAGGCCAGGATGCAGCAAGCAATCTCTGACTATCTATTAGAGCTACCGCTAAAAAACTAGCCGGGAAAGTTGTCCTCAGTAACAACCCTTTTAAATAGCGTGAGCTGGTTATGGATAACGCAGGTATGAACAGTCAATGACACTAAGAACTATTGAGTTCAATAACTAACGTGGAAATTGGCTACGAAGAGAGTGTAACTACCTAGGAGGTGATGAGGGTGTATATGTTTGCGCCCTGCGCGCTCTGTAACAGGGCCGACAGAGCGAGCAGAGCCGATAGAGCGTCTCACGTGACCCAGCCTTGTTCTTCTGTGGAACCTTCCACGTGCCTAATGAGTGTAACGAGTCGTACTTGTGCGACTCGTGGCCGGTTGCTCCCAAAGCTGTGTCTAACAACGATGAATGGAAGTAAGGCTTAGTCTTTAATATCACACCATCTAGAAATCTTAAAATTCAGATCTATGAAGCGTATTTTTGGACATGGGCTGGTCTCAATCTAGCGGAACCCACAGGAGCAAAACACCGAATTCATAAATGCTCTATGGCGATCTCACCGGTTAGAGTATTGACCAATGGTCGTCGACATTCCTTTCGCGAGTAGATACAACACTGTACCCTCGGGCCAATAAGCGTCAGCCACGTTTTTATCTGCCGGAAACAATCTGCTCGATGCCCGGCGTACACAGTTTGACATATTGGTCAAAGTCTGTTAGAGGTCAAGTACGGATCGTGAGTGATATTGACAGGGTCGCGAGAGCACCACTGGGCCAAACCACCTGAGACGCTAGGCGCTTCACCAGCTGTGCAAACTGCCTCAACCTTCGTACAACGGATACTGATTCACTCGTGGCATAGCACTTAACTGACAACGCCAGCAATATGCGCCGATCCAAGGCGTGTAACCCAGGGGCTTTTCCAGCCATAGCAATTTTCCTGACAATAAATAATGCCTCGGTCAGGCTCCGAGACCAGTCCAAACACAGTGTCCCTTCCAAATCCCAAGTGCTCAAGGACCGATGGCCGATATCCATCGATGAAGACATCGGCCTCTTCGATTAGCTCAAGGAGCTTCTTCCTTCCTTCGAACGTTTTCAGATTGATACCCACGCTAATCTTGCCGACACAGCCGTCGATTTAAGTGATCGGCAACTCTTTATTGACCGAGGAACTGACACGAATGACCGTAGCACCGAGGGCAGCACAGACTCTTCCAATGGTTTCCGCAGCAATGGCTCGTGCTAGTTCTAGTAGCTTTATACCGGAGAGGGGCTTTTTGTTGGAAGCATTGACGGGTGGACCCCAGGATACTGCTGGCTGTTCGTAGTAAGGTTGCATAAGGCAGCTGTAATACGGCTCATCCTTGATAGATTGCCCTGTTAACCGGGTCAGTCTGCATAAAGAAATAAGACGAACCACGCTGGGACTCACGTGAGGCAAAGCTTTGAATTCATCCTCCCCGTATGCTGTTATGCCTGGCACACGGTACACGTTGTTACTCCAGTTATCAAGACTCTTTGAGTCGATTCTCTCGACAAGCTGCGAGTACATGTCGAGTATTTCATTCCAGGAGAGATTCTTCTTGTTATGCTACGGCTAGTCGAGCATGGTGAGCACTAGTGTCGCATCCATGCTTCCATGAAGCTAATACCATCGGCCGTCCTTTGTCCTGTAGATATTGGTTGCAAGCTGGCGATAGAGTTCGCGCGTGTAGCCGTGATCCCACCGACGGGTGACTGCGTCCATTTCCGGAGCCAGACTGTCCCATTTATCGTTACACCAGATGAAGCATTGTGCCAACCCGGTCAAGAGGGCGCGGGACCTGAGCATGATTAACAATGGATCTTTCAGAAGGAACGGCGGTCTTGTATCGGTGGCACTCACACGTCAACCTCGATATCCTGATCTAGCCCGTATCGTTCCTTGGATGTAGCAGCGGCAAAGATTCCAATGTATACGAGCAACGCTGCCTGCGACTCGGCACATTTCCACGGTGTAGGATAGAACGGTTGTGTCTCGTCCCCTATAAACTTCATCTTGCTTGCAAACTCCTTGACTCCGTCTGGACTATTCAGCCTGGGATCCGAGACAATTTTGTCGAATATCTTCTGTGCCTCGCTTTGGAGTGTGTACGTCATGCCAGGCTGAGCTCTGGTGTTTCCGAGTGGCCAACGGTTGAGTATTGATTCGAGAATAAGCCAGCTGTGCATCCCTGGCAAGCCACCTTGTAAGATTCTATCAGGCAGACATTTGACATGGGACAAACTTGGCCGGACCGGGTCTCTCGGGAGCCGCTTCTATGGAGACTCCCTTCCGAACTGCCGGCGATGCAAGACACGGTATACAAAGGATGTAGAACTGTGTGCGTCGGGGTACATTCCTAGTGGAAAAGGTGGCGGAGGGTGTGGCGAATGCTTGACTGGCGAATAAATTTTCGACACTAGAGTAGGGCGTGCAGGAAGAGAGGTGGTTCCTGCGAGCCGAATGTGACGAAGATTGATCCTATTTGCTATTGGAGGCAAATATATGATTCTTGTATGAGTCTGTATGTAAGATGGTGACTTCATGCTGTCTTTGGGAAGTTTATCACCAAACGACCAAAGAACCCGAGCGGCCGGTACTCGACCACTTCTGTTGACAGGGTTGGAAGATAGTCACTGTGGTAAACCACCTGAGACGCTAGACGCTTCACCAACTGCGCAAACTGCCTCAACCTCGTTGTTCCTGCAGATCTGTGACAGGATGGCGACGGAGTAGGAGGTTTCAGGAATGCTCTTGTGGTTACAGGCCAATGTATATATAAACGGGCAGAGTCTCTCTGAGTAGCCAGGGGGACAGGACACAATCAACCAGACAGGTCCACAACTCAACCTCTCGTACAACAACTTCCCTGTCAAAATGAAGCGCGCATGAAGCCTCTCGCGCGAGACTATCTTCAGCTCGGTTCACTGCTTAGCATGAGCGGAATCTTTAAGATCCTCAAAGTTATTTCCTCGGCGTATTTCTTCGCTGAGTGCCAGATTCGCTGCGTTGCTGTCAAGCATCGAGCCATCCTTCACACTCCGTTTATACAAACTGATCACCAACGCTTGACTTCATATTATGATCGGCCAGAAAGGCCAACCCTGCAGAGCATTCGAAGCGGTTTAAAGTCAATCAATTCAACCAATAAAATGATTGAACTCTGGAGTCAACCTTTTGCTTCCTTCGCGACGACCGTCTCCAGCTACCATTCGACGGATCAGGAGTTGCCACGGTGATTTTGGACCTCGACAGGGCAGCTGCGCTTTCTGCATTGTGTCCGGAAGATCTGTTTTGCCGCAGCAAGAGGATCATTGCGGCGAAGTTTTGTGAGATGCTTCAAACACTCATTGGTCTGAGCAGCTCCGCGGTTTGATCGAGGGCTTCCTTGCGTCCCTTCTCGCGGCACAAGGAGGGTACTCCGTGTAACTTGATTTCAATGTCTCCGCCATCATGGGCCCATGCCAAAGCTTTCCTCGCCAAGTTGTCGTCCTCGCCCAAGTAGTCAATTGGCAATCACCGTCTTTCACCATGGGTTTGGCACGCTGGCAGCAGTTTCGAATTGCACGACAATACCCCATCAGCATGAAAGACAACGAGTGGCTCCACAGGCAGATTACTGGGGGTATTTTCTCAAAAGTGCAAGGATTTGGGCGCTGTGATAGGTCACATTTCGAACCCTGCGTTGGTCTTTCTGTACCCACTGGAACATCCGGATTTTCGCCTTCTCCGTCTCTTGACCATTCCTTAGGTATGGATAAAGAAAGGTCATGAGATCTCCAGCGCCATAGAGACGTGCGACGTGACTTAGTCGCGTTCGGTACATGGCCTGTAGTAGCTGTGTTCTCGTGTAGAACTTAACCCGCGGAGCCGGTGATTCGTAGAAGCAATCAATGGCTTGAAGCAGCTCGTGCTGCTTCTGGTTGCAAAATTTCCACTCAAAGCCATCTTGGTCTCGTTCAACAGCTGACGTGAACTGGAGGTCTTTTACACTCAAAATGGTCCTCACCAGAGCTAAAATGACAAGAGAATCGTTGCTTCTCATCCTCGAATTTCATGGCTGGCTTCTCTGTGCCGTCAAAAAGACTCCTGATCAATGGGCGCAGGCGACTTGTAGGAGGAGAGGCATTGGCCCAAGGATGCAGTGCCGCCCACGCATGTGCGGAAGGTGCTTCCCAGTGCCGCGAAGAGCTTGGGAGGTTGAGATTCAGTTCTTCCGGACTTAACAGTGGTCTGTTATTATTCAGATACCTAGATGATGTGTCTAATTCCTGCTCACTGTCAGCGTACACTACGAAGGTGACGGGAGGTTACAATCATTCGTAAATTGACCATGCTATTCAGCGTCGGCGCTCCTGTCGGATCCATGCGTGCCAGGATTCTTCCAAAGAGCTGCCGTCCTGATCGGGTTCGGACGGTGTCTCAGTGCGGAACAAGCCCATACATTTGGCATGGTGTGTTCTGCTGCTGCGACACGTCTCGGCTAACTCGAATGTGCGCTCGTTGTCCCTCAACTATCCATGCGCCGCCTGTAAGAGCTGTGCGGTCAGGTATACTTCGGTTCTCATGAATTGTCGCTCTCGTTCAGACTGGAAATCTCTCAAAGTCAGCATGTTCAGCGGCCTCCAGAGTGCTCAATCTCGTAGCATGAAAAGAATCAATCGATGATTTAGCTCAAACAGTGCCTTGGAAAATGGCTGTGCCCCGGGAAGGCCAGTATATTAGGCTCCATTGCCAGCAACGGCCAATGTCACCACAAGTCTTTTTCAGGGTCAAAAGTAGGATGATGGATCATGGGAAGCATCTGCGGGAGCTTAGCTGGAATGTTGAAGGTAATGGGAGAAGAAAGTCTCACCAGGTGAAAGTGCGCAAAATACATGTCAATGCAGCGGTCCAGTTTCTCACAGGTAGGGAAATTCTCTAGGCTGCTAAATTGCCAGCGATCGTATTCGCAGGACTTCTTGATGCAATCCTGCCATGCTATTATCGCCGAACTAGCGACTGGCTTGGTCGAGAAAATCCTTCCGCTTGAAGGAAGGCCTTGATTAGGCTCGCCTAGAACCGGGAGAAACAGGCCTTTCATTGGCCCTGGGTTCCACTCCACGGGCCATAGATGCTCAAATTCTGATGCCGCCTTGTCGTCTTGTCCACGGGCATTGCCCTTGATGGTCGATTGATCCGCGATGATGACGGTGGGATGGCTGGATCCACCGGGTTGTGTTTCGGCGCATGGAGAGGGAACGAAATTCCAGAAATCAGGCAAGTTTGGCATAGAAAAAGTGTGTTCCCACACACTTCCGGCAAATAAACCAAGGTTCGAACCTATATCTGAAATGTCAAATGTGGAGGAGAACTGTTCACCAAAGGATCAAGTGTCATTCAATCCTTGGTCTTGCCTTGGCACAGCATTGGAAGCGAAGTTCACGTAGTCTGGGGGCACTGTTGAACCAGCAGCTTCAAAAGTTGGTTTGAATGAGGGTTTGTGGCCACATATGGAATTCTCGACACCGGCTGGTTCTCGTTGATCGAAGTTATCGTTGCATTGTTGGAGGATGCCACCTCCGACAGTACTTTTCGTCTGTCCAGGACCAATATCTCTCGCATAATGGCAATCAAGATTGTGTCTTTGACACGAGGAGCAGCTTGGTTGTGCTCCGCTGAATCTGATTTTTGACCTGGTTTTCTAGTCAGTGAAATGGAAAGAAGCAGGGGATTAATGGTGGACCGACTGGTAACATTGCGTACATGATCTTCTTCCACTTTCGCGGCTGACCGATGGGCATCATGGACTTGCATATGGCGCGACAGAGCATCTATAGTTTGGTTAGGATCCAGTCCCCTTCGGAAGCGGTGACCGACTCATTTGCGATCAAAGGGTCTGCCGCATAATGAACAGTGGTACCTGCGATTATCAGCGACCGGTCTGGAGTCGAAGGCCAAAATTTTCTTACCGAGCATGTCTCGATGAAGGATCTCTGCGCTAGATGTACGAGAAAAATGCGGTACAAAGTGGCCGCTCTTCGCGTGTCCCGGGAACTATGACCCGACGAAGATTCTAAATGTTATCAGGATTCATACTGTAAGATGTAGGCTGGGCCGACCGATGGGGCGCGGGGCAGGGAACAATCAACTGGATCGGGCTGCCATAACACAAGGTACAAGAGGTATCAAACGTGGAACGCCACCTGGACTTGAATGTGCTCTCCTTTGCTTGACTAGCCTTTCCGTGAACAATGGCGGGGAGGTTGAGGTGGGAACCAAGGACATACATTCAAGACCCCCTATTTATCGCTTGCCAGAAAGGTTTAAAGGGCTTGAGCCTTGAGATGGTCTTAAACTTCAGGGGATTTACCTCCTTTCCTGAAGACGCCCCCGGGACTCCCACGGGAATGGCGAAACACCTTGGTACCTAAACCCACACTTGACCCGTGATTGAAATCTGACAATCCACAACAACAAAGAACTCCGATTATCTCCATCAGCTACATACCAAGTAGAATAGGAGCGCCACCCGGATCGGTGCGCCGTGGCTTCCAAGGCTCAAACCTGCCGGGGCACGTGCCGGGCCCGCTCCTCCTGGGCTCCTCCTGATATTCCGTGTCCCTTTCCTGTGGATCGATGAAACTTAATCAAGACCACTGTATTACGCTCTCTCTCTCTCTCTCTCTCTCTCTCTATCTCTCTATCTCTCTCTCTGATTGGAGAGGCCAAGGCTCGTTTGTAGTTCTGATAAATGCTCTAGGGATCCTAAAAATCGCCAACTTTCAACAAAGACCCTTATTCTTTTCCGAACCCTGGCTCCCTCGTGACATCTATGAGCTGAAACAGTTTGAGGAATCGTTGACTCCCTTGGAGTGTTGACCTTCTTCGCAAGAGCTCATCAAGATAATTTGCTAGCCAGGACTGTCATCGATTGCCGGGTGACGATGAAAGTGGCAATGACGTCGCACCGCGTCATTCGTACATTGGTACTATTATCGTTCAAGAGAGACGATTTTGATTTCTGTAGCCACTGAATGGAAAAATCCACAGTACCGCAACCCGTCAGGAATCCTGCAAGTTACCTCGCTCACTTTAAACTTGAGATCATCCTGACAAATAGCTGTGAACTGCGAGAATGTGTCGCTTCGAATGGCTGCAGAAATGAGGATGACAACATCCGGGAAGTGGTCCTTAAGGATGCTGAGGAGTTCGGCCAGTGGGCGTAGGATGTCGGGGTGGTAGGTAATATCGGCACCCACGATCAAGTCGTAGCGCATGTTTGATTTCTCAGCTTCCTTCAGAAGTTGATCAATCGCTGGTCGATCCGTCCAGTCCAATTGACGAACTTCGGGTGCTCGACACCCCTCAAGAACCTTGTTTTCCTGATTTAGCGCGACATTTTTCTCCAAACTCTGGCACACGTGTCCCAAACCATCGGTTGCCAACACAGATGAGGCTTTGAGATGGGCCGCGCACAGCAAGGAAAGAAATCCAGTTCCAGCACCTAGCTCAAGGACATTCTTGCCGTCTACAGGGCCCGGTCGCTGGCTAAACAGATACCACGCTAGATGCAACGCAGCTTCCCACGTGCGAAGGCCAACGTTGTTGCCTCGAGAAAGGAGATTTCTCGCCTCATTGATGAGGACGGGTAGTACTCCAGGCTCGTCAAGGGGAAACGGGGGATAGTATGAATGTATATGCGGTTGCTGTGCTTCTTCTAAATGATCCTGTTGCGGAAGACTGGAGAGGTAGCCCATGTGCTCCATTAGATGATCTGAGACTTGCTGCAGCATGATTAGATGTCAGTGCTTCAACATTGGGAAGAGACCGAAACGACAGGGATGTGATGAGATAACGGCCATTGCCAATGGCTTCAGTTTCGCCGGAATCAGCCTACATCTTCTTCAGGGTTCCTGCAAGCGTTTTCAATCTCCTCAATGAGACGTCGCAGTATCCTGCCTTGATATCGTGGCGGAGGCAAGTATTTGTTGCGGCCAGGATCGAAGAAATACCGATATAAACAGTCTTGCACGTCCGGGTTCACCAGGAGCCCGCCGGGAGGGTAAGTCACATCATTGATCTGCTGCATGTACTGCCGATAGAACTTGATCACAATAGGCTCTACTCCAGCACGAGCGATGTCCATCTTGGCCAGAATCCGAGGCTCGGCAAGGTTGTGTACAGGCACAGAACCAGCGGAAGGGAAATCTCAGATACGTGAGGTATGGAGGAGCATCAACAAAGACGTGATTCTTCACACATTGCAAAGTGCAAAGGGCCTCCCTTTTGCAAATCCCAAGAACGGAAGAAATTAAAGTCAGACCCTGCGTGGTGAAATGTGGTGGTGGAGGCTACCAGCCACATCCGGAATAGTGCCGCTTGCGCCAAGATTTCGAAATGCCAAGCCCACAATTTTCGGGAAGGAGCGAATCTTTGCTCGTCATTATGCCTTTCCACCGCTGCAGTCAATTTGAGTGTCGAACAAATTCATCTCGACCAGATCGACAGTTCCCATCAGTCACTGTCTCGATTGCGATCCGTCGACAGGCAACCGCAAAGAATCGCAATCATGGCCGACTCACCGGTCACCATCCGAACTCGCAAGTTCATCACCAATCGACTTTTGTCGCGAAAGCAGATGGTCCTGTAAGGAGCACTCACACTTCCAGATCAATTCCGCAACGGCACCTGCTCTGTGAAAGCCTGAATTCTAACGTGTCGTTTGTTTGTCTCCTGCAGTGACGTCCTCCACCCCAACCGCCCCAATGTCTCCAAAGACGACCTCCGCGCCAAACTGGCCGAAGTCTACAAATCCAACAAGGACCAGATCAACGTGTTCGGTATGCGGACGCAATACGGTGGCGGCAAGTCCACCGGCTTCGCTCTAATCTACGACTCGGTCGAGGCCATGAAGAAATTCGAGCCGCACTACAGATTGGTCAGAGTGGGCCATGCCACCAAGATCGAGAAGGCCAGCAGACAGCAACGGAAGCAGCGCAAGAATCGGTCGAAGGAGCTCAGAGGCACGGCCAAGACAAAGGGGGCCAAGAAGAGCAAGAAGGAGAAATAAACGTGGGGTGCTCCAAGTTGTGGCGGCGGTTGTGTTGGGTGGTGGTTATGGGCTGTTGAACCAGATCGAGAGGGAGGCAGCGGTTACTTGGTGCTTGCTCATGTGCTAGAAATGCATGAAAAAGCCCGGCGTACCACATGGCCCCCGAAAGGAGAGAGTTGCAGTGGTGTGGTGTTCAAGCATGGTCAAATTACGCCGTTTCAGGTGAATACAGAGCCGCCTGTTGCGTGCAATCTTAAGTCAGGGAAACCCATTTTCAGCAAGGAAGACTTGCGGAATGGACAATGGCGCAACGAGATCGATCACTGCACTGAAAATGATATTAAAATCTTGGTGAATGCATAAGCGAGTCACCTTCCAAAACACCTTGCACTGCTCTCTGCCTGAATGCTCCTTGAATGCTGTGTCGCTCTATCGCACACGAGGGCGAAACCCAACGCAAACAGAGTCACGGGTAGGCTATCGAATCGTATGGGAATGCGAATGAGGTGACAAAACGCGCACTTTTGGTTTCCAGCTAATGCTACAGAAAAATTGCAATGCCCAGGGTGCTAACTACCTAGGAAGTTGGTTCGGTTCCTCCTACATCGAATCACATCACAACGGTCTGGCCATATCACCTGCGTCGAGGTGAGGGAAGGCCGCTCGCTGGTGGTGGTGATACACGGCTCGCGCTTTGATCCTTCGTCGTCGTCTCGTCTGTCTGTCTGTCTGTCTGCCCGGACGAACAAACCCTGTTTTGTGCCGCTATATTCCTCCTCTCAAAGCAGAAGACATACGCAAAGACCACCCATGACATAGCGTACACATCCGGAGAGCACACTGAGACATAACCCCTTTTCGTGAGATGCATACTTTTTTATTCCCTCCATCCATCCATCCATTCATTCATCGTTCGTACGTGACGAGACCACCAGCCAGCCGGCACATTTGCGAAGTGCATTAACAACCCTAACCTCCTTCCCACCAAGGATTTTTCGTCCCTCGTCCCACCGTCATTCTTTTCCGATTCACGCAATTGGATAAAAGCCAAAGAAAATCATCGACATGGCATTAATCCCCGTCGGCATGACAAGTCCCGAAAAAGTTGTCCCAGGATCCCTCTTGTTGTGGGTGCAGTCCTGTGCTCCGTTTGCAGCGTGGAAAAAAATGTCCTGTTGATTAGTTTTATGTGGTTTGTGCGACATCAACGTACACAGAAAATCAGATTTCAAACGCAGATACGGCGGCCGAGCAGGTGGTTTTGAAAATAGTACAGACACATTAAAACGAGGATGTTGACGCTTGTCAGGGAGTGTAGATATGGTATCACGGGATCAAGGTGCTTTCAATATGTTGACGAGGTGTTGCTGATCGAGGTGACCGATGTCTGAGTCGATTCAGTTGTCTGACAGCTGGAACAGTCTGGACTGCAATCATCCGAGCCAGGCTCTCGCTGTGGAACCATGACTCGCCCGTAGAATGGCCCGGTGAATGGCTGGCTTGAGGTTCTTGTCGGCTGTGAACTGTGCCCATTTACTGAGCTTTTGTACCCGTACGTCACAGCATGGTCCTCCATAGTGGATTTGAGACTCTGGTGAGAGACCGCACCTAATGTTGAGTGCTGCGAAAGAGTATCTTCCGTTGGAGCCGTTGTTGCTGGAGCTTGCGACTCGTTCACGGCAAGCGGGTCGCCAGATGCCACTGAGGTCGCAGAGAGTACTTCACCTAAACTCATCTGGCCGTACGTCATGTCCGGGACTCTGTAAGAGATATTGTCTCGCGTGCTGTGTTGCTCTTGGCCTCCATTTGATTCCACTTGAGACGGGATTTGCTGAACAGGTGTGTCACTATCCTCATGCCAATAGCCTTGGCTGCGTTGGTTTACCGCAGTGATTGGAAGGTCAACTGAACTGCCCGGTGTTGAAGCATAGCGTGCATTGATGGGATGTGGTAAGATACGGTCCGATGGGAGGTTTCCAACGATTCCGATTGTCTGGAATGAATGAGGAGCTTCAATGGGCATCGTATATGACGAGGTGGTTACCTGAGAATTCGACTGTGGTACAAATTGCTGAGCCTCTGGCCAAAGTGAAGTAGGATTTGGTCGAACCCCGAGACTATGCGCATAGTATGTGTTGTTTGAAGACATCGGATCCGTGTTTGGTAGAATGTATGGGGGCGGCTGGGAGGTGTAGGGACTTGTTTCTTCGTCGTCTGGGTATGGCGAGTACGCTGCAACATATTGTGCTCTTCCCCAATCAACACTCGGGCTCGGATTAGTGTATCCACCATAGTCAATACCGTTAGGGACAGGGTGATATTGCAGAGTGTTCTGTTGGCTGCACCTTGACGGCACAGACAGATAATTGAGACGGTGGTGTGTGGGAAGCGAGTACGGGGAATATCGTGGAGGTCCATGCCATCCTCGAAGACTATATTGGCTAGGATCTACTGAAGAGACCTGAATCCTATTAGACAGTCATGCATGTCTGATTTGAAGGAAGCTTACCCGGAGAAAGCGACATGAGTCCTCTAGACCCGAGTTTTTGCAGTTTGCACACGCCTGGCTGTCACCTTCGTTGCCACTGCATTTGATTTTGCGTTTCCGGCATCTTTCACACTGCATGATGTGAGCAACAGATATTCCAAGGATAATTCCGCGAATCTTTAAATACATACAGCAACAGGTACACGCTTTCTTGAGCCGCTGGTCGCTCTGTTTTCTGGCTCGGATGTGGGAGTTGTGCGGCTGCTTAGATGGCTTCCAGTCTCGTATTGATCATGGATGTGAGAGGTTTGGCTCAGCGGCATATGAAGTCCTCTCTCATTGCGCCTGAAGAACTCGAAGTCCGGGTATATTGATCGTGTTGAGATCTCGTCATCCGTCAGTGGCAAGATTCGCAATATCTAGGGATATTCCCTACCATGGTGCCCTTCCAAAAACTGAAGCGGCACAAGCAAACAAGGTCCCCTCGATCATTAAAATTCGCGGTATTGAAAACAACGAGAAGGTCCAGGGCCAGTTCTGAAGCAAGCTCTCTAATATCGGTTCCAGACCATTCAGGAACTCAGAGTTAGATCTGAGATATGAGATCCTGCAGAAAAACAGAAAGAGTGCCAGGATCAGGTTGATAGTGACATTTTCAAGGAGGTACTCCAATAGGAAAACGGATGGGTAAGCCTCAACAGCTGCGGGAACCAGATCGAGGAGGGATGTCATATCAAAATCGACGTCGAACTGAAAAGCTTTGCTTTCGTTCAATTCGCGCCTAGATCAAGTCACGCCTTCGGAGTTGGCCCTTTGAAACCTGATCTAAGATTTTCTTGTAACGGCGTCGCTGCAGACGTCCGACCGTGTGACGATGGTGCTTGGTCCACTGCAACAACCTGATTCAACGGGCATAAGATGGCCTGACCAGTCATCAGCCAGCCGATGGAGCGCCTGCCATATCAGCTGTGAAACAAATCGGACGCACAAGGCCAATCAAAACACGACGGTGCTTCAGAGGCCAACCTGCAAACTGTACTTGAGTAATGAATGCAAGTAGCATTGGTGCTGGATCTAGCGTCGACAGGTTCCATGTGGGGAAACAAGACAAGCCTGCAGTCTCTTTGAGCCACACCTGAGGAGATATGGGTTACGCACCTTCCAACGGACATACTCTGCAAAGGGTGGCATGTCAATCATTATTGCGGTTAGCACTAGGCCCAACCAGAGGCAAAGAGTAGATTCTGTTTGCTACCAGAAGGCTTCCGACCTGATTGGATGCAAGCCCTTGCAGAGAACGTGGCATATGCATCATCCGCATTTGAGCAAACTCACAGCTGATAACGCCGTTTGAGAATTGGGCTGTGATTAGCGGGGGCCAATTCCTTTGCGCAAAACTTCCAAATTCTGTTGTATCGACGAAAATTGGCTTTTGACTGCAAAGCCTTACCACCCAGAGATTATCTGTGTGTTCGACCGCGGACGGTTCATATAGGAACAAACAGCGCTTGTCATAGAGCCACCGAGTGGGTGTATCCTCGTTTGACATAAAGGATCCGGAATTCTGGGGGATATTTTCATGCACTAAGCTTGCAACAAGGTTAATGCACATGATAGAGGGTAGCAGTGGTGTATGTCACTAGGATGAGGTCTTCTGAGTCGGATTGGATCCTATGTCCAATGCCAGCCCCTGGACGAGAGCTGCAAAAAGCCTGCGGAACATCACTGGGTGTTTTGGTAGCACAAGATGTCGCAAGGTTGACCTCCCTCGTTAGAAGCCCAACGTGCAGAGGATTTGACAAATCAGAGAGTGAGTTTCAGGTGCCTTTCGGTGACACAAAGGCGCATCGATACCAGGATGAAGCCCCAATAAGGCCAGAACAGACGCCACACCCTTGTGAGAGGCTACCAGGAAGATCCCTCCATTGGGTGTGCAAACGACAGGAAGCGGTGCTGAAGGCAAGCCCCGAATACTACCAGCTTCAATTTACCCAAAGGGTGTCAGTAAGCACCAGCTGCTGTTATTATTGGGCATCGCTGTGTAGTAACTGCAAAGAGCATCGCCTGTCTCGGGCAGACATGGCCTGGAAAACAAGCGTCACCCAGTTTGACGGATTATTCGTAGATGCATGAGAGTAATCCTCCTCGCCTGACATTTAGAAATGAGCCAGGATGGGATCTCAGCCTCCCTCCGTGCAGGCTCATGTGGTGCAGATGAATGCCGGTTACAGGAGAAAGGAGGGTTATAGCCTGGCTAGGGCAGGACGGCTGGACCTGTCATCGAAGCGGGTGGAAGCCGAGAAAGAAGACGGTTCGTGACAGAATCGGGGGATTTTTGTATGACTGTGCAAAGAATAACAGAGGTGATGGGTAGTTGCATAACCAGAGCTTGAGTACAGAGTACTTCCTCGTCGATAAAATCCTTGCATGACATGTCAGGAGGCAGAGCGTTCGAACGAACATGGTCTACCCAATCCTGCTGACGAATGAAAAAGACATAGTCGGACAGATGCCCCATTGAGTCTTCAACAGGGACAATGTACACCAGTACAAGGAGGCCAACCGCGGACCCCAGAATCATGGTGGCAACATTGCGCAGGAAAGCGGAAGCGGAAGTACTGATGGCCTCAGTTCAGCTCGTCTAAGATGACTGATTCTTGCAGGTCCCAGCAGTGCTTGTTTAATGAGAAGGACACACGGGGAGGGAGTCCGGCCCAGCAGGAGGAAGAAGCTGCCAGCTGGACGAAATGGAGATGGAGAAGAAGGGAGATCGTGCGGATGGTTACGAAGTGGTGAAAAGCCCAAAATGAGCTGCAGGCACAAGGAGCCATCTTGGCAGCGGCTTTCAAATGACATGATGATGACGGTCATTCCAAGTTTTCTTTTCTGATATTCGATGCAGACCGGCAACCGAGTGCTTCATTACCTAGATACTGAGCAGCCACCTCCCTTGTGAATCAATCCACAGCATCATCGCACGTCAAAATACCGCAATAATTCTCTCGTGTCACTCATGACTGACCCCCCGGGGATCGTATGCATGCCCCATTAGAGTGAAATTTTGCAAGTCCGGCCGGAAATATTATCTCTGCAGCCTTCGCCATGAGTGTGATACTAGAAACGTCTCTCGGCGAGATTGTCATTGATCTCTTGGTTGAAAACGCACCAAAATGCTGCGAGAAGTAAGTCTCGATCATGCGATTCCGATTCTGTCAATGCGCTGACTGGTTATTTCAGCTTTTTGAAACTTTGCAAAATCAAGTATTACAACTTTGCCCCGTTTCACAGCGTCCAGAAAGGCTTTAGCTGTCAGACCGGAGATCCACTCGGCCCAGACTCACCCGAAAGCGATGGAGGCAGCTCTGTCTGGGGCTTGCTATCAGGCCCTTCGAAGAAGAGTTTCATAGCCGATATCGACCCAAAGCTGAAACATTCCCAACGTGGGACAGTCAGTATGGCGACGGTGGCCTCGCCCAATGACCCTGATGAGCGACTCGCTGGCAGCCAATTCCTTATTACTCTCGGCGACAATATTGACTACTTGGATGGAAAAGCCGCCCCCTTTGGCATGGTAGTCGAAGGCTTCGATACTCTGGAAAAGATCAACAATGCCTTCACTGACAGCAACGGTAGACCTTTGAAGGACATCCGGATTCGGCATACCATCATATTGGAAGATCCGTACGATGATCCGCCGGGCTTAGTTGTGCCTGACTCAAGTCCTGCACCGACAAAGGCGCAACTGGCCACTGTTATGATCGCGGATGACGAAGAATTGGAGGAAGAAGTCGACGAAGCGGCTATGGAGAAGCTGCGAAGAGAACGAGAGGCACGAGCACAGGCTCTGACCCTCGAGATGGTTGGTGACCTCCCTTTTGCCGAGGTGAAACCTCCAGAAAATGTTCTGTTTGTATGCAAACTGAACCCTGTCACGAACGATGAAGATCTTGAGTTGATCTTCAGCCGTTTTGGCAAAATCCTTTCGTGCGAGGTCATCCGAGATAAACGCACCGGTGACAGCCTGCAGTATGCCTTCATTGAATTCGAGAATCAAAAGGACTGTGAGCAAGCGTACTTCAAGATGCAAGGTGTGCTCATTGACGACCATCGTATCCACGTCGACTTTTCACAGAGCGTCTCTAAACTGTCCGATACTTGGAGAGATGCAACGAACTCGAAGAGGGCCAGGCAATCCGGAGGTTTCGGTGGGATTGCCAGCCTTGAAAAGAGACGGCATTATCGAGAAGATGACGGCCGTGCGCAGAATGGCGGGAAATACAGAATGGTCTTTGATAAAGACGACATCCGCCGGAAGAAAGAGTCCCGGCGAGAGGAGGGACCTCGAAGGTCTCGAAGCAGAAGCCCACGGTATGACAGGAAGGAACCCAGACGGGATGAGCACCGATCTCGGGATCAGGATAGACACGGTCACAGAGATCGCAGGGAGAGAGATCAATATCGGGACCGAGATCGGGACAGAGACAGAGACGGAGACAGAGATAGGGGACGGAAAGGGCAGTCGTATCGATCAGGTCCCTGGAGGGAGAGAGACCGCTGAGGTGCTGTACAACAACTGCAATTTAGTTTCTTCCAGATTTTCATCGAAGGTAACATCAGCTATCCTAAAATTGTATCTGGCTGATGTACCTGGCCGATGAGTTGGGCTCTGTGGTGACCTGCTCGCTGCATAATATTGGGTAGGGGCTTGGGGAGTATGGACTCTCTTGTCATACGTCACCACGAGGCTGCAATGGTTTGGAGCGGCGAGGGATGCGGAGATGTTTTGGAAACTCTGCCCGACATTTGATGTCTCACCGCGCTAGACATCCTTGACATCCCTCCCTTCCCACAACTCGCCAGCTGAGCCAGCTGAACCAAAGCTGATCTTGTTGGCCCCATTTAGAAACTGTTTCTTCTGGAAGGGTGAGCAACTGTCTTTGTCCTCCAAAGGCGGCATATTTCTTGTCTACCGCGGCCCCCCTTTCTACCAATTCCCCTGCACTACGTACGTGATTCCTTGCGAACGCCGACTCACAATGGCTGCGAACATGGTAAACACTCTCCTCGAGAAGCTCCACCTGACCTCCAAGGATCATGGTGCACCTGCCCAAGAGCCCGATGAAGAGCACTTGAAGGCCCTGCGCCAGAAATATGAGAAGGCGAACCAAGAACAGGTCTTTGCTTTCTACGATGACCTTGACACTGAAGGGAAAGCAGCTCTATTTGAACAGCTCTCCATCTTCGATCCAGACCGCATCAATGTACTTGCAGACAAGGCCTTGCACGCTCCCCAACTGTCAGGCCAGCAGCAACCTTCCCTCAA